CCGTCAGCCAAGTGGCAACGCCAGGATCTGCTCTTCCAGATCTGCTATGGCATGTACGGCTTCATGGATGTGGTCTGCATAGGTGAGGATGCTTCTTTCTCCCCGAACCTACTCAGCATCTTCCTTTACTCACACACCTAACTTCCGTATGCATCCTCCCGGCTTCATGCTCATAATTCTGCCGTTGGAGACCGTTAATGCTAGACCAGGGCCCACTTCTACAGACTGTCTTCTCAAGTCTGTAGAAACAAATGCCTAAAGACCTATGACCTATGTGTGGGCCCCAAAGTAGTTCATCTTGCAGCCCTGGCTGTCCTGGAACTCACTCTGTACACTAGGTTGGCCTCGAACTCAGAGATCACCCTGTCTCTGCCTCCTGAGTGCTGGGATTAAAAACGTGCATCATGGCTGCTCGGCTCATCCTGGTTTTCTTATCCCTTTGCTCAGGCCTTATTGTTCATGAAGGCTCTTCTGTCTACCGCATCTTCAAGCGCTGGCAAGCAGTGAACCAGCAGTGGAAGGTCCTGAATTATGACAAGACCAAGGACATAGGAGGAGATGCAGGGGGAGGGACGGCGGGGAAGCCAGCCCCCAGGACCTCACGGACCAGCCCCCCTGCTGGGGCCCCCAGCCGGCCCCCAGCTGCCCAGCGCATGCGGACGCTCTTGCCTCAGCGCTGTGGGTATACAATCCTGCATCTCCTTGGACAGCTACGGCCACCAGATGCCCGTTCCAGTTCTCATTCTGGTCGAGAGGTTGTCATGAGAGTTACCACAGTGTGACCTGGACTCCAAGAGCAGGGATCTTAAGTCAATACATCATCCAGAGATGACCTCTCCTGGCTGCTGGAGGTACGACCTAGACAAGGTGTTTGGGGCACAGTGGCCACACCACTGAGGATCTCTGTGGACAGCCTCAAGCCTGGAGACATTGCCTGGCCTCTACTGCCCACAGGGTAGTGACACCTGGATGACATTTCAGCTCCCACTGACACCACCTCATACTCATCGTGAGGATGGTCAGCAAGCAGGCGGGGAGAACAGCTTTTCTTCCTGGAGAGAACCATCTTTACCTCAGCTTTAGGGCCTTCAGTCCCCTGGCTCCACCATGGTGACTTGGTAAAGGGAGACCAATGCCAGACACAAGGGGCTGTAGACTCCCATTCCCCACCTCATGGCCACAGGGCATCTGGCAATAAGACTAGTAAACATTGACCTCCCGTTCCCTGCATGAGGGCGGGGGGACTTCCCCTGCTCCACCCCCATTGCATGGGGGAAGGGCATAAAGAATCATTTATATGCACGTGGAGACTCCTTTCTCATCTGGGGCTTTTCTGAAGGGCTGCAGGGCGTGGGGAGGCTCCTCAGCACTGCTCGCATGGCCCAGGAGCAGCGGTGCATTTGGAGTTGGAGGAGGGACTCACCTGCTAGTGAATAATTCACATGGGTGCTAGGTGGCAGTGCTCAGCAGCAGCTGAGCAGGGGTGGACTCGCCCCTGTGAGTTATAACACTTAGAAAAATGGAGCTGTCTCTCTTCCTCTCTACCTCATAGACTTGGAATGAGGATAAATGAGGGACAGGTTGAGTGCTACTACAAAGAAAATTGACAATGGTTTAAAAGTTCTGGACTAGCTGCTGGTCCACTTATTTCAAATAGTAGGTAGCAAAGCAAATTCTAAAATGTGGTTTTTGTCAGAAGTGGCACGGAGCTTTGGCATTTTGAGTGAGAAAGTAGATACAGAAGCAAAAGGGGCAATAGAACAGCCGCTGTGCAGGGCAGCAGTTGTGGGGACGAGAACACTTCTGACCCCCAAAACTGCATTTGGGAGAAGGCTGGAGCCATGTAGCCTGTTCTGAGAACATCTGTGTTGGATCAGTCCTTCCCAGGTACTGTGTCCCCCAGAGAAATGGTGTGAGATGAACGTGGACTCACTTAGAGCGACAAGGAAGGAGCCTCTTCCCGCAGTGTTATGTCTTTAATCCCGACTGAAACTATTTCTGTGGCAGCTCGGGTCACAGGTTTGATCCAGCTGTGCCCAGCTAGTGAGTGGTATTCCTGGGAGGTAGAAGAATGAGATGGCTCATGTTTATTAGAGAAAGGATTTGGGAACCGTGGGTCTGAGGGCTGGGGGTGTGGGTCAGTGGTACAGTGCTTGCCTGCTGTGCATGAGGTCCTGGTGTTAACTCCGATACCACCGAGAAAACTGTGGGTCAGCTTGAAGCTTGGTCGCTTTCTCCTGAAGCCTGGGGCTGGGTACTATATGAATGATGGTGTCTTTTTAAATGAACCATTCATGAGCAATTAAAGAATTCCTTCATACATTGTTAAAGTCAGGTCCAGAGGCCTTTCTTACTGTTGGTCCTCTGGCAGATGGTGTGCTCTGCCTCCTCTTGGGAAGGCTTGGGAAAAATGCTTGTCGTCTAATGGGCCACCTGCCCTGGAGCACAGGAAACCTTGCTCCAAGCCTCTCCTGTGTGTGTTTAGAGGGGGGCGGGGAGAGGGCTTGGCTGCTGTCCATGGTCTGGCTTCTGATTGGCTTGTGGGTGTAGGTACCCAAGCTGCACTGCAGGTCTAACTTAATTCCAAGTGTGAAGGTCCTGAGAGGATCAGGGTGAAGAGGGAACAGATGCTGAGCTCTCCAGCTCTCTGCTAGGAAATTTTGCCCAGAGCCACACTCTCTCCTCACTATTTGGAGACAGGGTGGGGGGAGCTTTTTTGATTTAGTAGAGATCAGATAGGGGACAAAATCATCGGAAGTCTGGTCTGGCAGAGGGACTCAGGTAGATGAGAAACCCCTGGGGCTTCTGGGCCAAGCCTAGGATGTTCCTCATGATGGCTCTTTGTTAGTCACAGTGGAGAACACATGTATATTCATGTGCACTCTGGGCCCCAAGGCCCACTCACCCCTCTCCTCCAGCACCAATGGAAGTATTGGGATGAGGTCTGTGTGCATTATCAGTATAATCTCTTTTCCTCCTTTCTCTAACTTACACAGCCCCTTGTCTAGGAAAGGGCCACAGGTACCACTGGCTCTTCAAAATGCCATTTCTGTGTAGCCACTGCTCAGTACAGGAAGGAGATCCTTTATTGACCTCAGGAAAACAGGTCTTAGAGACTAGGCTTTACCCTCCCAATCCAGCTCTGCTAAAGCTGGGGTATTTTATGTTGAACTTGGTGGCAGACACTGAGTGGACGAGCTAAGAGGAGGCCCAAGGACTGTACACAAGGCTCCAAGCATGCCCTGCTTCTCTAGGTCACACATGATTTGATCCCCGTGGGGAGTCTGCTGGCTGACAGTCTCTGTGCTTGGGGAGCCGTGTCTAGGATGGGGCACAGGAGGTACGAAGGAGACTCTATACTCAGCTAATTGGAGTGGGAGGGAGGGAAGGAGAAAGGGGCAAGTTCTGGCATGGGGAGAGTGATCTGGATACAGAGGGAGCTGCATAGTGCTGAGAGATTCGTCTGGACGGAGGATGAGTTAATCTGTATAAATCACAAGGGGTTACTGTGTGCAGCCTCTGAGGGGGGCAGAGAATGCTGACTGAGGGAAACAAGTCCCCTTGGCCTGGTCCCCTTCTCCTGCCTCAGGGCTCCAGGGCTCTCAGCCACCTCACATCTTGTTTTCTTCCTGCCTGGCTGCTCTGTTTCCCTGCCTGTATCCATGTCTTTCATTGAAGGAGAGCAGAATGGACCTTCTAGGATGCCCTTTGATTTTGGAAGTTCAGGTTCCGAAAAGTATTTCTCTCACCAAGAATCAAGCTGCCTCTGGCCGTCTCTGTGAAACCCTTAGCACCCAGACCCACTTCATAACTCAGCTCCCACACTCACATCTACTACCCTCTTAAATCCCTTCCAGGAAACCAGGCTAGACTTGGCTGTTTCCACTACAGACAGAAACATGCCTGAGTCTGTCACAAAACTCTTTCAGACCTCCCAGCTGTTATGGGAGTTCTCCCAGCTGGGTGATGGGTGTCAGGATCTTGCCAGGAGTTGGAGAAAAGTAAACCCAAAGCCAAGGAACAAACATTTTATTTTAAAAATAAATATTTAAAAAAAAATCAAAATGAAAGGAAGACAGACTGGGAGTATGGGTCAAGCTGAAAGGTGGGGAGACTTGGAGCAGATCCAAGTCTGGCCGAAGAGCTGAAGAGCTGAGGGGGTTAAACATGCTGAGAGCTAGGCAAGGGCGGCCACTGCACTAGGAGCAGGGAAAGAGAGAAGAGGGCTAGGAGTCTAGTGAGCGCTCACCCCCTGCCACGTGGTCCCAGTTCCGTCTGACAGTGTGTGTGGTGTATAGCCAGGGGTAGACCCTGACAGGAGCTATAAAGACTGATGAAGCCAGAAGCGGTAGTTCATGTCTGTAGCTCCCACACTCGGGATTGTGAGCTCAAGGACAGCATGAACTACACAGTAAGACTCTGTCTTTAAAAAAGAAAAAACCCAGTAGGCCATGAGTATCCTCACTCTTCTCCAGGAGCTCACATGCGTAGAAAGAGCCCAAGCAGGTGCAGGGCAGATGCATAGTCACTTAGCTCGTGCCATGATAAACGCTTAGACAGCGAGTCAGAGGACACCGAAGAACAGCGGTTGGACCCCTCCCCAGGCTGCCCAGGGTGTATTAGGTAACACCTGAGTTGGCACTTTAAGGCTCTGTTAAAATCCGAGGGCTTTGAACTTTGAGGAATGACCAGAAGAACTGAGCAGGAGAAAGACTCAGTTCTGTGAGGACCTGCTGACTCAGGTGAGCACACGCTTTGCACATAGGTCAGCTCTGCTCTCTGGAGTCTGAGCAGACAGACGAGGGAAAGCATGCCTCTTGAGCTTAATAAAAAGTGTCCTAGCCAGGCACAGTGGTGCACACCTTTGATCCCAGCACTCAGGAGGCAGAGGCAGTCAGGTCTCTGTGAGTTGGAGGACAGCCAGGGCTACACAGAGAGAAAAAAAGTCCTGTCTGGAGAGGGAAGGCAAAGGCAAATGACAACAGCTCCCTTCCACAGGACTATCTTTCTACAAACTGTAGATTGATGCTTCTCTCAGGTACCAGGACAGTCCGAGTCATGGGTTTGATTGGGAGAGCACCTGGCTCAGGCAGCACCTCAAAATGGGTCAAGATCTGAAAAGGGAGGAAGAAGGTTATCACTATGGGTAGGTCTAAAATGGGACCTTGATTGATAAAGAACATTTTTAGCATCAGAATGGTCACTGTTGGGATGGCATCAATGGCCAGTAAGGGACTTCTTGGTCAACCAGGACACAAGATTTATGGGAGGGAAAATAGTCCAAATATCTTTGCTTATACTCCAGACCTATAATGGGACTGTCAATGGGACTGTCTGCTGAGTCTATGTTCTGCTGTTTGTCAGGGGTCAAGAGCACCCATGTTTACAGACCTTTCTAGTCAGGGGATGGTATAAGTTCTAGATCACTTACCTGGGCCAAAGCCATTTGTAGTTCAAGCTCTGCCAGGCGTCTCCCTATGCAACTGCGTTTGCCAAAGCCAAAAGGAAGGGATGCAAATGGGTGGGGGGCAGGGCCCTCTCCCAGCCATCGAGCTGGGTTAAAAGAGTTTGGCTCTGGAAACTGGGCAGGGTCCCTTGAAGTGGCATAGTGACATAGGGAGACCAGTGTCTGATGGGAAATAAAAACAAACTTGTCAGTTCAGTAGCCAGGTTTTGTGTTCACACTTGCAATTCCAGCCCTCAGAAAACAGAAGCACAAGGATAGTGAATTGAAGGCCAACCTTGGCTATATAGCAAGATCCTGTCTGAACACTCCTACCCCTCCCTCCAAAGGCTCAGAGTTATCAGTGTGAGCCCAAGAATGCAGAATCGGGAACATGAAGGAGAGAGTCTGTGGACTAGTTTGTAAGTAGGTGTTAAGCCTGTGAGGTGGCACACATCAGTGATCCCAGCAGTCAGGAAGGCAGAGGCAGGTGGGTCTCTGTGAGCTCAAGGCTGGCCTGGTCTATAGCATTAGTTCCAGCACATCCAGGGCTATATGAAGAAACCCCATCCAAAAAGCCAACCTCTCCCAAAAGTAGGCCCCGGTTGGTGCTGAAGAACTTTCTTTACCCCATTATCCTGGAGGCTGGGGAGTGGGGCTAGACCAGCTTTGGGGATCATCTGAGAACGCTTGGGCCCATGGTGCTAAGCAGCGGCTCAGCAGGATTTACTCACATTTGGGGGGATAATATAGTCCCCTACACGGATGTCTCTGTCTGGGACACGGGAATTCCCAGGTACCACAGGGTACAATCTAGGTCACAAAACAAAAGATGGATTCAGTCAGGTGAGACTAGAGAACACAACTCTTGTCCGCCCTCTCTCCAGCTTTTGAACTCTGGAGTAGGATGCGAATTTTCTCTCCTCTCATTCCCTCCTTCCATCCACTGTCTGCTTCCTCAGCTCCCCTCTAGCATTTTTTTCTAGTTCCCACTTTCTTTCTCCCTCACCTTAACACTTCCTTGATCACGGCCTTCAGCAGGGGTAGCTGAGACAGAGCAGTGGCCTGTGGATGGGAGCCGGGGGCTGCAGCAGCTGTGATCTCAGAGTGGAGAGCACACTGGACTTCTGGGTGCCGGGAGAGCTCATAGAGCGTCCAGGAGAGCGTATTGGATACCTGAGGGAGCAGGTGAGAACATTTGAGGTTTTTGTTGGATGTGGGGACCCGTGAAAGGGGTAGCATGGGGAGGAGGTGCTAAGCCTGAATTCCTGAATTAGAAAAGTGGCCCTAGAGCTGGAGGTGGGGTGGCACAGGATGACGAAGACACCACAGGGAAGGGGACAGGGGCTGGGATGAGACAAAACATAGACAGATGGACAGTTGGGACAGGGACACTACACTCTGGAACTCCCAGGATAGAGAGAACCTCACCGTGTCCACTCCGGCCAGCAGCAGCTCTGTCACATTCCCCACAATGGACTGAACAGACAGCTTTTCCCGAAAAAGGAAGTGGGTTAAGTGATGCCCCAAGGGCACACCCTCCTCAGGCTTTCCCTGCTTCCTCATGGCTGCTTCGCCTCCTTGCTGCTCCACGTGCTTCTGGGCTGAGAAAGAAGGCATACTGATGCCCGGTGCAGCAGCTTTAGAGTCTTCTCTCTCTCTCTCTCTCTCTCTCTCTCTCTCTCTCTCTCTCTCTCACACACACACACACACACACACACACACACACACACACACACACACTTTTGCTCTTTACCAAAGGCAAACATCTGGTCCCAGTCTCGGCAGAGGCGGGCCCAGGGTCCGGGTATAAGGCAGTGCAGCCAGCTGGGCATTGCCATGGTCAGGAGTGTGGACACAAACACCGATCCCACTGCACGGATGAAGGTCTGTGTGTCAGGAGGGACTTCAGCCTGCAGGCAGCCCAGGCGTGAACCCAGCAGCACCGCGCCTATTCCTGGCCGAGGGGGGGCGCAGTCAGACGTCGGGAGTCTCGGGCCCAGAGCCACCTACACCGGTCCCTAACTGTTTTGAGGACTCACCTTCTAGGCCAAATTTGTAAAACTCTCCCGCCACGTCCAGAACTAGGTCGGGTAGCCCAGAGCCACGTCCCCGCTGGCGCCTTAGTTGTTGCACAAGGTCACACACTACGGTGTCCAGAGTTCTAGCATAGCCAGCGGCTGCTTGAGGCCGGAGGAGTAGTGGGGCCAGGAGACTTCGGAGTCTCTGCCATTCTTCACCATCCCTGCCCGGGTGCAGAGAAGGCGCGCCAGGGATGTGAGCGTGTGTGGAGTAGGGTAGGGTAACGAGGATTGTGTTTGTAGAAACCAGCCCCTGACCTCCGCTCCCGTCCTCTTTACTCATTTCCTATCCAGGGTTGGGAGTGAGTTCTAGAGTAAGCTGAGTCACAGAGGCGCACATTCTATCCAAATGCAAGTATCCTCGACTATCCCAGGGAGTCTGGTCTCAGAGGCGAGGGGGAGGGGCAAGGGCTCCGCTCTCCCTGACTTTGGACTGAGTACAGACTGGAGAACAAGGAGATGCTAGAAGGTTGGTGGAAACAGCCGACCTCCTTCCAAACCCAGTTTCGCTGGATGGAGGGGTGGGGGCAAGGATGGGGGATTAGGGTTCAGGGGTCGACTCACGCTGTTAGCAATCCGCAAGCCCGGTGGTGGCGGCGACGGTGCTCTGCCCAAGATGAGAAGCTGCAGCGCTCTGGACAAGGACTCTCTTGTCGCAGGAGCTGCTCCACAAGTGCAGGGGCGGCCACATATACTGTGCGAAGTGTCCCGAAGCTGCCGGACCATATTGGCCCGTAGCGCGCAGCGCCCTGCACCTGAGAGGACCCGGGCAGAGGACATTTGAACACTTGGGCGGGCGATTCTCAGTTTGGGTTGTGCCAAGGCCAAGGGTGTTGGCTAGGCTTGGGAAACGGGAGCTTTTCCAGTACAGCCCTGATGTGGCAAAACTTTTTTTTCTATTCCGTGAAAGAGAGGGTATGGCAGAATAAAAGAACTTTGCATAAAGCAGACATCCAGGGCTTTAGTTATCTGGCTCTAGCCTAGGGGGAGCACTTCTTTCACGGCCCCTCTCCTCAACTGCACCTCAAAAGCCTCCAGTTAAAGAAAGGGAACGAGTAGCTCTAAGCCAGATCTGAAGGATAGCACAGCTCTCCTGGTCCTCCAGGATTCTTGTCCTGGATCTCCAGGTTTCCTGTCTATAAAGTGAGATTCCATCCTTTTGCCAGGTGTAGGTATAGAATCTGGGACAGTAGAACCTTCCCTAGCCCCAGCATGAGTTTTCCACAGGTATCCATCCTCATTGGCTCGCCCTCCCGTTCTTCACTGTGGTCCTTTCTGCTGTAAAGCCAGTTCTCCCAGCCCAGCCCTACCATTCATTCCTACCTGCAGCTCATGTAGCCTGGACAGACCCCCTTTGCAGAACAGGTCATAGAGGAGCGTAGGCACAGAGGGCCCAGGGACGTCAGGCAAACTCCGGACTACCAAGTCGGCGCCTCTGGAGCACAGCGAGGCATCCAGCTGTGGAGGCAGGTGGACTCGGTGGAACACTCTGGAGGCCAGCTTGACTGCCTGGGTCATGTTCAGGGAGTGAGTCTCCTCAAGAGCATCTTTTGCACTTTCTTGAACCCCTTTATAACCCTTGGCCCTGGAGGTGAGGACGCTCCTCTCCAAGCTCTCCAGCCAATCCCTTTGCAGAATGGACTGTGCAGCTCAGCACCAGGAACGGTAGGCGTGGCTGGGCTGACTCCTGCCTCTTTTGGGTCTTCTGTAGCAGGAGCCCTGCCAGAGGTCTCAGGCTCCTGTGTTAATGCCCTGGTCCAGCAGCAGCCTAAAGTCCTTCTGGGAAAGACTACTTTGTATGGACTTCAGGAGCCAGTACCCGATATTCCCATGGCTCCCCTGGAGAGCCATGCCTTTTCAGGCCCATTCTTGGGAATTCTCCATCACTCATGAAGGGAAACTAGATGGAAGGTGCAGTTTTAGTCACTGCCATATCCTCGGGTTGCCCTTTCCTGGCTGTGTGGACTCATCTGCAGTAGCCATACCTTCTTCTTCTCCCGTGTCGTGTCTATAGCCCAAAGGAAAGACAGCATGTGGGCTAACATGGTACCAGCCATGTTCACCCTTTAAAATTTTTTATTTTAGATTTATTTATAGGCATGATTTATCTTAACACATGTGTACCATAAGTCAGGTGCCAGTGGAAGCCAGAAGAGGGAGTTGGATCCCCTGAAATGGAATTATGTTTGGTTGTAAGCCATCTATGTTGTTGGGAATTGAACCCAGGTTCTCTACAAGGGCCACTGATTAGAATTTATTTTTATTTTATGTGCACTGGTATTTTGCCTGCACATATGTCTGTGAGGGTGTCAGATTCTAGAGTTACAGCTGTAAGCTTCCATGTGGGTGCTGGTATTGAACCCAGGTCCTCTGGAAGAGCAATCACTGTTCTTAACTGCTTGGTCATCTCTCCAGCCACCCCCCTCCATCCCCTTTTAAGCTAGGATTTCTCTATGTAGCCTTGGCTGTCCTGAATCTCCCTTTGGAGACCAGGCTGGCCTCAAACTCATAAAGTTCCACCTGCCTCTGCCTCCTGAGTGCTGGGATTAAAGGCGTGTGCCATGGCTGAAACCACCACCTGCCCCCCCCTTTTTTTTTCCTAAAGACTTTAAACTATGTATGGGGGAAGGGGGCATGCACGCATGTCCACACATGACAGCAGCTACCCAGGATCTGAGAGGACCCTGGTCTCCTGGAGCTGCATTCTAGGAGGTTGTGGGCCTCTATCTCAAGGGCTAGGGACTGAAGACTGAGTGCGCTTGCCCACCAAGCCATCTCTCCAAACTCCATCCTTGTTTCTTGCGGAAGGGGTCTCTTAGCTCGGGAGACCCCCCTTCAGACATGAAGATTAGGGTTTGAGGGACAAAGATGAAGGACCAGCAAGGTGGCTCAGCAGGCAAATACACTTGACAATAAGCCTGATGACCTGAGTTTGATCCCAGGGACCCACACAGTAGAAAATGAAAACTGACTCCATTGAATCGTCCTCTTACCATCACATAAGCACTTGTGCATACCCTCACCTCCTATACACAAAGAAATGTAAATAATAATTAACAACAATAATGATACAAAGGAGGGTTTTTTTGTTTTTTTTGTTTTTTTTTTCCTTCCAAAGTAGGTAAGTTTAGAGATCCTGTCTCTGGATAGAATGAAGGCCAAGAACACACACCCTGAATCCCAAGCTGACTTGACCTCCTTTAGGTACTGTTGTGGTCAGCAGCCTCTTATAGCTTTCAGCTGCAGAATCCTCCTGGGTAGGGGCTGCAGAGATGGTGCAGCAGTTAGTTACAAGCTCTTACAGAGATGCAGGCTTCAGTTCCCAGCACCCACATGACAGCTCACAATCGCCTGTAATTCCAGTTCCAGGGAAATCAACTTCCTTTTCTGGGCTCCAAGGGCCCCAGGCATGGAAGACATACATATACACAAGCAAACATTCACACACATAAAGTAAAAAATGATTCTTTAAAAAGAAATTTCCCAATTTATGTCCCTGCTCCTCTGCCTTCTCTCCCCCTCCCCCTCCTCATCAGGTACAACTATGCCAGTCAGTCAGCTTTGAAATTCTAGAATCAAAGTCCAACATGGTAAAGACAGAGGTCTCTACCCTCTTGAGACTCTCCAGAGACAGCAACAATAAAGGCAGCACAGATTGCCCATGTCAGGTTGTAAGCAGGGAGAAGCTGGCAGCAGGCACGTGATACACATCCCAGCCCTTCATGGGCACGTGGGCACACACATTGCCCCAGGACTGCAAAGTAAACATACTGGAGGGCAACCTGAGAGAGGCACACAGCCTAAGACAGTGGGGCGCTGCAGCCTTTGCTCCAGCCAGAGAGAAACCCAGGAAGAGGAGAGCACTGAGGCACAACATGCCCACACCCTCCAAATGTCTGCTCTGGTCCAAGGTGTCTGACCTTCTCAGTCAGCTTTGTTTGCTTTCTTCTGACAGTGGGGGAGTCTGTGATAAGCAAGAACACAGCCTGCACCCCAACCTCTTGCAGTCCCACCAGTCTGGAAAGGCCCAGAACGGGGAGCTCATTTTTTGTCCAATCACTAGAAGACAGGGTCTGGCTAAGGCTGGGTGAGAAGTCAGTGGTTGGGCAGGGCTGGACTGGGGGTCACTGCCTGAAGGATGGAATCCTGCATTCTTCGGAAGATGGCTGGGAAATTATTTCCTCCATTGCGTAAAACTTTCTTTCCTTCCTCAGTTGAAGTGCCTAGGTGTCCCACAATGGGGTCTTCACTCTGCAGAAAGAGGGTCCGGCATGTCTCTGTCCACCTTTCAAAGTGCCTTAGGACCACGAGACTCCCAACCTCCTGGCTCTAAGCTGAGCTCAAGGACTACAAGGCCCTTCTGAATGGGCCTGCATTCTTGAAATTCCCTCAGGGCATCATACTTACTAGCTCCTCCAGAGGCACGCGCTCAAACAGTGGGTGCTCTTCAAAATGGGTGCACATCCATTGGTGCAGCTCTGGCACATCAGTGATGGTGTATATCAGGCCCTGTACAGGCAACATCATTCTAGATAGAAGCTGCATGTGGCTGAGCAATAAGGTCACGAGAATCATAGTACAACTGCCTAAATGTGGCCCCCAAATTAAAGTCTTAGTGAAGAGCCCCTGGGTAGGCTACTTACACCATCTTCCCTCCCAACTCACCCCAACTCTCAGCACGTAGGCATATTCTGCCAGAAGTGTGGGGCTGATGATTCGCCATTTATGCTTCGTTCGCTTGAAATGTGGGTCAGGAAACAGGAAGAACATCTTCGACAGCTATGTGACAGACATGGACCAACAGGATTGCTCATGATGCCCAGCTTCCAGCTTCTATCTTCCCCCTGCCTACCCAATCAGGGCTGTTCCCCAGCCTGCACCTGGCCCTTGTGGAAGAAGTTAGGAAGGTGCTTCATGGCGTTACTGCGAAGACAGGCGATGTTCTGGAATCCGCCTCCAGGAGCTGCGCGCAGAGCTCGAATTCTGTCCTGTACGTAGTCTGACACCTTCACCCGAATCTCCAGACCCAGAATCAGGGTATCTGGGAAGATTGGCGACAGTGCCACTGGGGACAGAAACACCAATGGGACCATCAATGCCATATTTGAGGAAGAACAAAGAAGTTAACCGAGGGAAAAAAAGTTTTCGTTTGTAGATATCCAAGTCAGGAATTGGCAGAGACTTCTTTACAGGGGACAGAAAAGCACAAAACTGTCATACTGTCACAGGAGCAGGTGTGGTGGCTCATGCCTTTAATCCTAAGAGTTGGAAGTAGGGAATCGGGGACAGAAGTAGGCTAATCTCTGTGAGTTCAAGGTCAGCCTGTTCTATGCAGGAAGTTCCAGACCAGATGAGGTTACATAGTGAAACCCTGCCTCAATAAAATAAAATAAACAAGAATTGTTATATAGACTAGAATAAAAGGGCAGAAGCTACAGGTACCATTTACATTTGCTTTAGAGTTTTCACCATGATGTCATGATGTAGCTTCATCTAATCTTTGTAACACTCTCTGGTAGACTGTGAAGGTGGGGAAACTGAGGGCTAGAAATGCTCAAGACCATTGAACTATCAAGGGGGAAAGCTTGAACATGAGCCAGAGCCCTCAGTCTCCATGCACCATGCTCTACTCTGTCATTCTGTTATCTGTCTATAGGAGAAGATCTAAACATAAGCCAGAGGCATGACATGCATGCTCTGAAAACAAGCCAGTTTAACAGGAACCCCAAAACATGAGAGAGTAGAACAGACCACCTTCTAATGAGAAAGGAATAGGTGAGGGAAGCAGTGGAGTCCCTAAGAAAGACAGTTCAGGATCAGTGGCCACAGTAGCTGATCTCTGACGCTTGTGCTGACCGGTTCACTGACCCAGCACAAGGCAGGTGAAATGGCTCATGGAGGGATGGAGGCAGACAGAACCTAGCTTCTAAGAAATATCTGAGGTGGCCCCTCCCTTCTTCAGGGCAAAGACCACAGACCCAGAGTTGAAGGAAGGTGGGGCTCTCCACACTGATGTCACCAGTGTCTGGTCCTAGGAGGAAAGGTCAACTAAGCCTGCCTCCAACCTGCTGAGGTGGCAGAACCCAGGCTTCTCCTTGTCCCAGGGAAAGGGCCAGCACATTACCTAACAAACCACCATAGCCACAGCCTATGTCTGCAAACTCCACTTGAGCCCCAGATCGCTTTTCTTTCTCATCCTTTGGATCATCATGGCTCTTATTTTGAGTAAGCGGAGCAAAGAACTCTGGGTAAAGCTCAGACCAGTCCATCTCCTCTGGCTTCACAGGGCTATTGGAAAGAAGATATAAGACAGATCAGAGTGCTGAACACACCATTGCAGACATGCTTGTGGAGGTGATAGGTTTCTCTGAGAGTCTACAGCCATGGGCCATGTGGTGTCTAGAAGGCAGAATGGAAAGTCCCCTGAAGGCTCTGAGGGTGTTAATCACAATTCCACCATGAGGCTATGGTTGCTCATCTGCCAGGCTCTTCTGGGTATTGAAGTGTCAGGTAGTTGTCCTTTCTGGGATTCAAGCTCTTGCTCCCAGAGACCGACTGCCTAAAGCACTGGGCACCACTTTGTGTGGAGAGGACAGACCAAGGTGCGGCCAGCAGTGTGTATATGCTTATGTTTTTATAAACACAAAAAACGAAACAGAAGGCGTTGTGGTGGCGCGCGCCTTTGATCGCAGCACTCAGGAGGTAGAGACAGATGGATCGGTTTGAGTTCGAGGCCACCCTGGTCTACAAAGCGAGAAACCCTATCTCGAAAACACAAAACAAAATGAAAAAAATCGTAAGATAGAAATGACAGCTTGCTTAGTTTCTTCATTTTAGTTTCAGCAACGTTTTTTTTTTTTGTTTTTTTTTTTTTTTCTTTTGCTTTTTTCGTTATATTAGATCTGGTTGGCAAGTCCACCCAAACTTAGTCTACAACACCACGCCCCCTCCCAACTGGTCAACTCCGCCTTCTGCGAATCCATCCTCAACTGACGTGTCATCCGCATGGACCTCCAGGTCCATCTCCAGTCCTAGCTGCCTTCCCAGGCTGCTTGACGCACCCGCCCGCTCTCCCGGATCCCGCCCGACTAGCTCACTAGCGCAGCGTGTGGTCCGCCATGGGGTTGGAGTGGGCGCGTTGACGGTAGTAGCGCTTCTGCGGCTGGGGGGCTTCGGCTCCCGCCATGATGCCACACCATCCACGTGGAGAACAGAGGCTTCGGGCGCGGGGTGATGACGCACTAGTGCGCTGCCAGCAGGCCCCGCCCCTTAAAGAACCAGGAGCAAAGTCGGCTGCTCCCGGCGGAGAGAACCCTGAGGGTAGCTGGAGAGACACAGCCTGCGCGCTGCTGGTCTCTAATCTTGCGGGAAGGCAACTCCGGGCACCCTGCCTCCTCTCTTAGCTCATTTCTGCCTAGTCTGGCTTCCTAAACGCCTGTAGGCACCTGTGCGCCCCACAGGTGAGCTAATATGAGGGACCCGCCTCTGACAGTACAAGCAAGCATCATTTCTTCTCCTTTTAGGTGGCCTCAGACTGAGTCTGACCTGTGTGGTACTGCGTGGTCCTGTGCTGTGTGCGCCAGGGACCCGGGGTCGGGGCTCATCCCCCATCCATCTTCAGGAAGTCCAGCTAGAGGAAGGAGGGCGAAGTGGGGAGGCGGAGCCTGGTGCATGGGTGCAGCCCATATGGCTAGCCGGCCCCAGCCTCAGCCTCTCCAAGGACTCGGATCCAGCGCTGGCCGGGGTGCCCGGGTGCTCTATCTGCATGATGGCCAGCTCCCGCCCGGACCCCGAACCAGAGCCCGAGTCTGTGTTCCCACGGGAGGTCGGGCTGTTCGCCGACTCGTACTCAGAGAGCAGCAGGTTCTGCTTCTGTGGGCACGAGCTGAGCATCACGCAGAACTTTGGATCGCGCCTTGGGGTAGCAGCACGCGTGTGGGATGCGGTGAGGAATGGGCTGCCCTGAGAAGTCCAATCCCCGGACCCCACCTCTCTATATCGAGCTACGGTCGTGACAGTTTCCCCCTTTCTCTTTCTTTCTCTCCGTCATAGGCTCTGAGCCTGTGTAGCTATTTCGAGAGTCAAAATGTGGATTTTCGAGGCAAGAAGGTGATCGAACTAGGCGCGGGGACGGGCATCGTGGGAATCTTGGCTGCGCTGCAGGGTGCGTGAGCTGGCATTGCGGCGGGAGGAGGGGAGCTGGAGTGTGGGGAAGGGCTTTTGAACTCTGCTCGGTTCTTTGCTTTTAACAAACCTCTACTCTTTAGCGAGTCAGACAGCGCTGTCCTGGACTCGCTTTTTAGACCAGGCTGACCTCGAACTCACAGAAATCCATCTGTCTCTGCCCCTCGAGTGCTGGGATTAAAGGTATGTGCCACCAGACCCAGCTCTCTCTCTCTCTCTCTCTCTCTCTCTCTCTCTCTCTCTCTCTCCCCCTCTCACTTTCTCCTCCCTCTTTCTGTTTCTGTCTCTCTCTGCGTGTCTCTCTCTGCTCTGTCTGTCTGTCTCTGTCTCTGTGTGCGTGTGTCGTGGTTGAGGCAGGCTCTCTTGTCCAGGCTGGATTAAAATTCACCAACTACCCAGAGAAGGTTAGCGTGAATGCCTGACCCTCGGGCCTTAATCTTCCAAGTGCTGGTGTTACAGGTGCACCACCATGCTCCCAAACAGCCTTAGGTTTTTCTCGCTAGAAGAAACAAGATGGTGAATTTTGGAGAGCCAGGGTGTGAATGAATACATACACTCATTCTAGGGCTGACTAAGAGGCTGAGACCTGGGAAAGGAGTCAGGTAAAGTGCTTCACTTTGGGCAAGATAAAAAAATTCCTGACCTGTGACCTAAGTCATGCAAACCAGGATGTCCTGATTCACAGGGAGAGAAGTGGGTCACCCTGAGGGAAGTCTTTGCAGAGGCAGACATTTATTTTTCTATTCATCCGAGCAACCTGTGAGTCTTGTGTGTGCCATGAGCCATGCTGGGGACTGAGGGTGTGAAATCGAGGATTTCCTCTCTCCAAGGAACAATGTGGGAAGATGCTGGGTACACACGCGATAGGTGTATGTGTGTAAGTATGTGTGCATATGTAGACATGTGTGCGTGTGTGCGTGTGTGAATGTATGTGTGTGTAGTACATGTGTGTATGTGTGTGTGTGAGAACACCTGTCTTTACTTACTGTCACATCAGCTGCTGCTCTTTGGTGTGGTGTTTAGTTGCCAGGTCTGAAATCTGGATATAATCTATTCTCTCACTTGTACCCAGAATCAGCCAGCCCTGTCTCCTTGACACTTGCACAGCTGCCCCTTCCTCATCCCACTTCCGGTTCTTGCCCTGACTTTCCTAAGTGTCTCATGCTTCCCCGATGGGAAAGGTTAGGACTCCCAGTCTGACCCTGTGATCTGACCACACCGAACCAGTTTCTGCCTCAGGCTTTCTCATCATGAAGCCACGTCCACTTGGGGATGAGACGTTATCTTGTCACGTCCCTGCTTTCCATCCTCATACCCTTCCTGTCGTGTGCATTCATTCATTGGTTTTTCAAGACAGGCTTTCTCTGTGTAGCCTTGACTGTATTGGATGCATTTTGTAGACCAGGCTGGCTTCAGACTCAAAGAGAGCCACCTGCCTCTGCCTCCCTGAGTGCTGGGGTCACAGGCATGCACCACCATGCTGGCTATCCTGTGCATTTTTTTTTTTTTCTGATATGAAAGAGGTTTATTTCTTTCATATAAGGGAAGAAGAGGGAAAGATAGGGCCCGAGTAGGCCATGTAGGTAAAGAGAGAAAGAGACAGAAAGAGACAAAAAGAGGGGGGAAGAAGGTACCCAGACAGAGAAGGGGGAGAGAGATTTTCTTGTGTTTTCTGGATCCACTCCCGGCTCCCCAGCCTGAGCCACCAGCATCACTTTCAAAGACTATAATAAGTAGTCAAACTGGTTTTGAGTTCGGGCCCCACCTAGAGTGTGGCTCACACCATCCCATAGTCAGAAGAGCTTTTCCGCAGTGCCTTGTCATCATTATCACACCCACCCCTCTATGGCTTCTCACTGCTTCCGGCATAACATGGCTTCCAATGGCCTGCCGCCTCTCCACCTCTTTCTGTGCTTCCCCGCTCCTGTTCTTATGTTTTCTATTAGCCTTCTGTCTGTTCTGAAAATTTGCTTTGATGTCCCCTCCCTTAAGGACTTCACCAGGGCTACACTTTCTGATTGAAACAGTCTCACTGTCTGGTTAATGCAAATGTATTCCCCATTGCCAGCTCAAAGTGCCCTTCCACAGGAAGGCTTTCTACACACACTCACACCTGCCCAGGCTGACTTAGGCCTTCTTTCATTTTATGCTTGTTTTTACTGAGCCCAGGCCCTTGTGCTACCCAGCTGGTCTGTACACTTCCTTTGCCCATTCATCTTTCCATTCTCCTAAACAGCCATTTCTTACCTTCTCACTCTTCAAACTGTGGATGCCTTCTTTGCAATTATCACCCTTATCTGGTGACTTTGTTCCTTCTGAATGTGTCTGAGTCCTCAGAAAATGGCCACAAATTCATGTCACAATATCTATTTACCTGTGTCTGTAGCTACTGCTTTTCATCTTGTTATCACAATGGACATACTAACTAAAGTAAAGCTTTCCACTTGTCCATAAGACAGTGAGTCTTCCCAGGATTTAAAGATAATGTCCCAGCAACCCCTTCTCTTATCTCTGCTGTATTCCTGTATTGTTTCTCTCTCTTTGGGTAATACGTATATTCTGACTGTCTATCTACTTATTATCTATCTATCTACTTATCTATCATCTATCTATCTATCTACTTATCTATCATCTATCTGTCTATCTATCTATCTATCTATCTATCTGTCTGTCTGTCTATCTATCGAGTGTGTATAGATGGTGTGTGTATATGATATATATGCACATGGCTGTGCCAAAATACCTCTAATGTGTGTGTGTGTGACCCTGCATCTCCTGAGCCACTTCTAGGCTTGGGAGAGCGTGCATTCACAGTTCTATCACTGTCTACAGTCCCTCTCTTTCTGTGCTTTTCTTACTCTATTCCTGTTAGCTTTCACTCCCTCCAGTGGCCCTAGCTGGGGTTGTGAGCTTCACTTCCAATCCCATGTTTTCACCTCAGGAGTCAGTTTCTAGCCCACTCTAGTTGACCTAGCATTTGACAGTGATACTCCCATATCCTTGAAATGTCCTTTGCTTTCTGGGCCAGCACACTCTGACTTCCACCTACATTATTGGCACACTTTTTCATTCTTTCTTGTTGATTCCCTTTCATCCTTACAACAGAAACTTTGAGTGCTCCAGAGCTCAGGAGAGGCCTTTTGACCTCTTCTTTTTTTCTGGCTAGTCTCCCCCTGAGAACTCACATCACTTTGTGGCTCTGAATGTCCTTTTTCTTGTGAGGACCATGGTTTCCTCATTTCTATATTCAGGCTTGTTTGCACCACCCAGTGTCCCCTCAGTATCTTCATGTGATTGCTTGATAGACACTTCAGACTTTGCTTCCAAATGAAGTCACGCTCCCATTTCTATTTCTAGTGCCTCTCCTAAAGCACCCTTCATTTACGTAATGGGCAATTTGGACTGACTTAGGCCAAATGTTCAAAAACCATCCTTAATCAAAAATTTCCCCCACCCCGTGTGTGTGTGTGTGAGAGAGAGAAAGAGAGACAGAGATAGAGTCAGAGACAGACAGATAGACAGAATCAGTTTATTGACCTTATATCAAGGATTTGATTACTTCTTAGTTGTTGTCATGACCAGATCTCTAGCTAGCATTATCTCTTCCTCTGGTCATTGGAGTTGCCTCCTGACCAGTCTCACTGGTTCTGTTCTTGCTCTTCTACATTTTTTTTGTTTGCGTGTGTATTTATTTATTTTTATGTGTGTGTGTATGTGTTCTGCCTGGCTGCTCGTACCACATATGATGCTGGTGCCTGAGGAGATCAGAAGAGCGCCTGGACCCCTGGAACTAGGGTGCGGGTGTTTGTGAGCCCCCGTGTGGGTCCCCTGCAAGAGCAGCCAGTGCCCTTAACCAGTGAGCCATCTTTCCAGCCCTCCCTTGTGTTTTTAATCACAGCAATCAAAGCGCTTCTCCTAAGTCCGGAGGCAGTGTCCTTCCACTTCAAAGCCCCCTCCCCCTGTCTCCCCACATCGGGATTCAGTAGGCCTCTGTCTCCCTCTCGCCTACTCCCGCTGCTGTTTGTCCTGCTGTTCTCCACACCTGCCAGGAACAGCCTGCCTCCAGGTCTCTGTGGCTGCTGATCTGGCGTTTGGTAGACTTTAGCCAGGGAGAGCCACGTGGTTTGCTCCACCGCTGCCTTCAGGTCTTTTCCAAATAAAACATGCTTAGTGAGGATTTCCCAAGTGTCCCCTCAAGTGGTTCATGCCCTTTTGATGCCTCGCTGTAGCACGTGTCACAATTTGATGTTTTGTGTGTCTGACTTCTTTCTTTCTTTCTTTCTTTTTGAGGCAAGGTCTACTGTAACTCTGGTTGACCTTAAACTCCTAATGTTCTTGTTTCTTGCTTCTACCTCCCAAGTACTGGGATTACAGATATGAGCCACCAGACCCTGTTTATTTTTGGTTTGTTGACAATGTGTCTTCCCAAGTAGCCCCAGATGGTCTGGTGCTCAAGGTCCTCCTGCCTTGGCTCCCCAAGTTCTGTGACTACAAGCAGGTACCAGGTACCACTATGCCTGAATATTTCATTTATTTTGATCCTGTCATCTTTTCTTGTTACTGTTCTTCTTCTTCTTTTTTTAATTAAAAAAGTTACACGTGGGGTGGGGCAGTGGTATCACATGCCTTTAATCCCAGCACTTAGGAGGCAGAGGCAGGCAGATTTCTATGAGTTCGAGACCAGCCTGGTCTATAGTGCAAGTTTCAGAACTACTAAGGCTACACAGAGAAACTCTCTCTCGAAAAGCCAAAACAAAAAAAGTACATTTGTTTATTGAAGAGAATGCATTTGTCATGGCATGTGGAGGTCAAAAGAATATTTTGTGCCAGTCAGTTCTCTCCTTCCACCACATAGGACTCAAGGATGAAAATCAGATAGCAAGGGCTGGTGGCTTGATCTATTGACCTATTGCCCCATTTCCCTTCGTTTAAAGCGGGATTCATGTAGCCAAGGATGGCCTTGAACTTCTGATCTGGCTGCCTGTACCTCAAAATAACTTATTTATTTGGTGGAATCAAACCCAGTTTTTTATGTACTCTACCAACTAAGCTCCAAACCCAGCCTCTTCCCTTTACATTTTTATTTATTTTAAACATTACTTTTTTTTAAAATTATGTGTAGGTGTGTATGTCTGCAGAAAGGCCGTGCACATGGGTGCAGGTGCCTCAGAGGCATCAGACCCCCTTGGACTGCAGTTTAGACCATTGTAAGATGCTTGATATGGAGGCTGGGAACTGAACTCGGGTCCTCTGGAAGAGCAGTGAGTGCTCTTAGTCAGTGAGCTGTTTCTCCAGCCCTCTCTGTTTTACTTAGTTAGGGTCTGGCTGTGTAGCCCGAGCTGGTCTCCATCCTGCCTCTGCCTCCCGAATGCTGAGATCACAGGCACGTGCTGCCACCGCTACAGGCAGCCGCTGGCGCTGTTCTGTAAACTCTGTAAGGGGCGGGTGCTCATCTGTCTCCTGCACTCCAGACACCTGGCTCCACACCCATGCTGAGGGTGTGAGTGCACTCTTACTATTTCTGCTTTCTATCCCATTAATCCTGGTTCTGACCAAGCAGTTGCTTTTGTGATGCTATGAGTGTTTCTGTCTGGAATGAAGCTTTCGGGAGGCCACAGTCTTGTTTTGCCTCCTGTTGTATCCCTAGCATTTAGCAAGTCCCCAGGACACATGTTCAGTGTGCGAGGAAAGTGTTCTGAAATGCTGACCTGATTGTCTTTTACCCTTGGGCTGGGAGTATGTCTCTTGCTTGCCTCCTGTGTGATCACAGTCTATCAAGCCTGACTCTTTGCAACCAGTAGTTTTTGTTTTGGGTCTTGACATTTTTCTTTCAATTTCTATATCTTCTAGATCAGTGGTTCTTGGCCTTCCTAATGCTGTGACCCCTTTATACAGTTCCTCATGTTGTGGTGACTCCAACCATAAAATTATTTTTGTTGCTAGTTCGTAACTGTATGTTTTGCTACTGTTATGAATCATAATTGTAAATGCCTGAGGTTTTCAGTGGTCTTTTGGGGTCGCAAGCCACAGGCTGAGAACTGATGTTGCAGATTCCAGCCTCCCTTGACTATGCCATGCCCTCCGCCTGCTAGGTACCCACACTCCCTATTCTCTGCTCAGAAAGCCTCAGCTGACTATCCTGTGCTTGTCCTCTTGGGCTCAGCTGAGGTCACGTCTTTTGAGTTTGTGAGGGTGGGGGTGCATGGCTCCTTCCCTGCTTGGTCTTGCCCGGGCTTTTGCTGACAGATGGTTGTTGTGTGTTGGGCAGAGAGGTTGAAGATTATCTCAGAGAGAATGTTGATGTTGTAGAATGTAGAGTAATGAGAGTGGCCATGGGTGACATTGAGGTTAGGGCAACTAAAAGCCAAAGAATGGACTTTGGGCTGGCAAGACATGAGGCCTTAAGGTCTCTGGACCCTGAAGGCCGGAGTCATGAGCCCTTTCTTGGTCCCTCTGACTTGGATTTCTCCTCCTTGCTCTCCCTCAGGGGGGGATGTTACCATCACTGATTTACCACTGGTCCTAGAGCAGATCCAGGATAACGTCCACGCTAACCTGCCACCTGGAGGCCGGGCTCAGGTGTGTGCCTTGTCCTGGGGAGTTGACCAGCATGTCTTTCCCGGAAACTATGACTTGGTGCTGGGGGCAGATATCGTATACCTGGAACCCACCTTCCCACTGCTGTTGGGGACACTCCGACACCTGTGTGGGCCCCATGGCACCATCTATCTGGCCTCCAAGATGAGAGAGGAGCACCAGACAGAGACCTTCTTTCAACACTTCCTGCCCGAGCACTTCCAGCTGGAGCTGGCCCAGCGGGACGAGGATGCGAATGTCAACATCTATAGGGCCAGGCACAGGGAAGTGGGACCTGAAGGACATCACCCCTTCTGTTGACCTCAACTCTTATCCCAGTGGAGGAATGGCATCTCTCCAGAGCCCTAAACATCAGGACATGAGAAAAGGATGCAGTGCCTGTCTTCTTTCTTCTCTTTTCCCATTAGTTTCCCTATATATTCTTCGGAGACTACTTGATGAGAGTGGCAGAGCCCTAGAAGCATTGAGTTTAAAGCACAAAGAAGGCCCAGCACTTGTCTGCAGAGGAAGAGAGGGTATTCAGGATACTTAGGAGTAAGGGAGGGAAGCAGGGGATGAATAGTGGCTTCAGGGAGATTGCCGTTGATCACTTCCAATTCTTTAAACAGAACAGACTTAAAAAAAATTCTTTGACTTTTTTTTTTTTTTTTCAAGACAGGGTTTCTCCGTGAAGCATTGGCTGTTCTGAACTCACTTTGTAGACCCAGCTGGCCTTGAACTCACACAGATCCTCTTGCCTCTGCTTCCTAGAGTGCTAGGATTACAGGCATCCGCTACCATGCCTAGTTCTTTGACATTTTTTAAAGGAAAATATGAGCATTAATTATCTCTTCTGCATCCCTAAACATGTAGCTATTGCCAGAGAGCTGGGTACCAAGATGCCTCAAAATTCCTGTTTCTTGCTACTGAGATGTTGCTAGGAGAAGTCCCCTTGGCCTGAGCCTGGTAACTCGCAGCAGAGCTGTCCCTTTGGGCTATCGCTTCTTTGTGCTCTACAAAGTTCAAGACCTGATCACAGACATCATGGTGTACCAAAGTCTCTGGATTGAGTTCTAGGTTCTTCTGATCTCCAGTTTTTCCTTCTTAACTTGTTCTGTCTTCTCTTCTTGATTCTTCCTCAGGAGAAGTCTGGTTGGGCTCTTTTTCCTTACTGCTTAGGAATACAGCCATCCTTGGTGTGTCTGCCACCATCGTCATAACCGCCTCGCTACTCCTCAACTCTCGCCATCTTCCAAAACCTGCTCTAATTCGCTTCTTACTGCAAGAACCAATGTCTTTGCTTGACACTGAGGCATGCCCCCAAAGTACTTTGTATTTCATTTCCTGCTCCTTTTGCATGTTTAGCCAAGTTGCAGTTTGCTGTGCTTTATTCCCTAACTCTATAATCAGCATTCTCTCACTTCTCCACTTTCTGAATGATTCCCTTCAAGGGCCATTGCTCCTTATCAAAACTCAATCTTTGCCTCTGGGAAAATCTTCCTTTTCTTGAGCCTTCTATTTGGATGTGATTTTCTTGTCAGGAAATCTTTTAACTGCTTAGGGACCTTATATTTTCCTATCTGATTTTTTTTTTCAAGACAGGGTTTCTCTGTGTAGCCTTGGCTATCCTGGACTGGACTTGTAGACCAGGCTGGCCTCGAACTCACAGAGATCCACCTGCCACTGCCTCCCAGAGTGCCGGGAGCACAGGTGTGTGCCATCGTGCCTGGCTGTTACCTGAGTCTTATTTTCTCACCAATAGATACATTGGAGGGCAAAGCTGTGGTTTATTCATTAGTAATTCCTTGAAACTGGCAACAGCTCCGGGCACACATGTGTTCAGCGGATATTAGCAGATATGCTAATTTAGTAATTATTTATTCGGTTTGCTGAAGGAACTCCACCTCTCTAGGTGAACCAGGACATAGTTCCCCGAGTCATAAATGGATAACGAATATGAAAGTGCATTGGAAATAAACATAAAGTATCACCTACACGTCTTGTTATTTTGTGACAACTTTCATCAAGCACTTTTACGCGTTAAGTCTTTTGAAATGTTTTGACAAGCAAATGCGGCGGTTCCATTCCTCCGGCCTGCAGGCGGCAGCACCCCGCACCACGCGTTCCGGGAGGCGTTTTGGCCCTCGCGCCACGCCGTAGGCCGCCGTCTCACCTGCGCGCGCGTGGACTGCGAGTGTCCCGCTGCCCGGGGAATGTCGATGCTGCGGTTGCTACGCCTCTTCCCCTTCGCGTGCGCCGGCCGCTCGGTGAGGGCTCCCGGGCGCCGTGAGCTCGCCCTCGCCTCTCCAACCCAGGCTGCGCTCCCCTCCGCGCTCGCCCGACCCCGGGTCTCCCCGCGGACGCGCTCCCCGCCCGCTGCCCTCCAGCCGCCTCCCAGCGCTATCCCTTTCTCCTTTCTCCTGCAGGCGAGGTCTGTCCTGCTGCAGCCGCCGCAGCCATGGCGCGCGTGTCACACGGGCCCCTCCGTGTCGCCTTCTGCTTCCAGCAAGGAGCTGCTCAGGAAGCTGCGGCAGAAGACAGGCTACTCCTTTGTCAACTGCAAGAAGGCTCTGGAGACGTGTGGCGGCGACCTCAGACAGGTGGGGAGGCGCTGTCCGACCTGGCGCGACGGCTCGGCCGCAGGCTTTTCTTCCGGGCCCACTCCGAGGCGCGCAGACATGACCGGTGTCCTTCCGATGGGACCCCAAGAGAAGACTTTGGCTTTGAAGGATAGCTTTACCCTTCTCCTTCCTCGTCTTCATTGGAAGCAGTTAACGTAGGAACAGAGTTAACTAGCCGTGATCCACGTCCGGGGGCCGTGGGAATTATTGCCTGGAGATCAGTGTTGGTGTAAATTTTGAAGTTCAACTACAGAGGCCCTCTCACACTGTAACTGTGGACATTGCATTTAACCCTTTGGTGTCGTGTCAGTGGGGTGTGTGTAATGAAACCACTTATAGTGGGGTTGTGAAGACCAGAGAGTGGTAGGTGAGTTCCTCTTACGGAACGTGGCCGTGCAGAGAATCATTTGGTTCTTTCTGATTTCTGTGACTGACTTTTTCGTCTTCCCTGTTTGTAGGCGGAGGCCTGGCTGCACGAGCAGGCCCAGAAGGAAGGCTGGAGCAAAGTGGCCAAGCTCCATGGGAGGAAGACTAAAGAAGGCTTGGTTGGGCTGCTGCAGGACAGGAACGCCTCTGTCTTGGTAGAGGTGCGTGGTGGGGGCCCTGCACACTAGAAGCAGCTATGCCTTGGAGCATAAGGCGTTTGTTTGGTAGACCCCTCGCACACCTAAGGAATCTGCTTGGAACCATGAGTGGAGGTTGGAGTTAAGTTCCCAAGGGTTTACAATGCATGGTTGTCTTGATGGGAAATGGCCTAGCAACCAAGATCCTTTTTCCTACGTGTGAACCCAGTTCAGCCTTGTTACTGTAGTAGGTAGACTTAAGTAGCAGGGTGGTGTGGCAGTTCTCAGCAGTGTTCTCAACTCTCGGGAGGCTGAGGAAGGAGGATTGCTGTGAGTTTGAGGGCAGTTAGGCTACAAAGTGAAATCCTGACCCCTTCACCACTAAAAAACACCACTAAAAAAAGGTAAGAAAGTTAGTAATTATAGTAATGTATTATTCTGTGTATTGATGACTCATAGCGTGGACTTAGAGGAGGCTGTAGAGTCAGGACATGAAAAAAACAAGCCCAGTAGGGCTACCACGAAGGAATGAGTAGTGGTAAAGTGGTTTGAGGGTGGACATGGTGGTGGCATGGGTATAGCTCTAGCACTTGGGAGGTAGAGGCAGGAAGATCAGTTGAAGGCCATCCTCAGCTACTTCATAAGTTCAAGGCCAGCCTGAGACCCTTTCACAAAACTAAAAAGGTTTGGTGTTGGAAGAGAGTAAGGGATGAAGTGATTATGGTGTGGCTGCAGCCAAGCATGGTGAGTCTGTCAGGGTGTTCTGGTGTGCAGGTTGTGGCTGAATCCCTACCACAGTGACATCTCTTCCTTTGTTTCAGTCTACCCAGATCCCCGGACCCACAGCTTTAAAGTCCGGGGCCATCTGTTTCTGTTGAGTCTGCAGCTTGTTCAGTCAATATCTTGGTTGGCTCTGCCTCCAACCTGAAGGCACTTTTAGAAACTGTTGATAACTAACTCATTCAGCAATATCCACTCATTCCCACAGGTAAACTGTGAGACAGATTTTGTCTCCAGAAACTTGAAATTCCAACAGTTCGTCCAGCAAGTAGCCTTGGGAACCATGCTACACTGTCAGAGTCTGAAGGATCAGCTTTCCACATACAGTAAAGTGAGTTTGAAAGCTGTCTCCAGCTCACCAAAGTGGCCTCCACACCTTAGGGTCTGTTTGTCTTTAGCTTTTTGGGGTGTATTTGAGGATTGTACCCAGGAACTTGTGCATACTGCTCTATCAATGAGCTACACTCTTCTTTTTTGGGGAGAAGGGGGCTTGAGACAGGGTTTCTCTGTGTAGCCGTGGCTATCCTGGGACTTGCTCTGTAGAACAGGCTGGCCTCAAACTCAAAGATCCACCTGCCTGTGCCTCCTGAGTGCTGGGATTAAAGGTATGTGCCACCACCTTTAATGCTTGTGATGTTCTTTTTGTATCACTCATCTCAGGTTCCTCTTTTCTTTAGATTTATTTACTTAGTAAATTTGAGTGATTGTCCGTGTGTGCATGCTTGCTGCTCCTGGAAGTCAGAAGAGGGTGATGGAGCTCCTGGAACTGGAGTTACAGGTGGACAGATGGTTTCGTGCCACCATGTGGGTGCTGGGAATTGAACCCTGGTCTTCTGCAAGATCAGCAAGTGCTCTTAACCACTGAGCTAACTCTTCTTCTGTCTGTCAGTCTTCTCAGTTCACATTGCTGCTTTAATCTCTTTTTTGTTATGTTACATTATTCTGCTTTTTTAACTTTGTGTGTGCGTGCGTGTGTGTGCCCACACATGCACATGCATGTGGAAGCTAGAGTTGACACTAGGTATCTCCCTCAATTTCTCTCTCCATCCTTTTTCTTCTTCTTTTGAGACAGGGTCTCATGTAGCCCTGGCTGGTCTGGGACTCAGGATGGTGTCACACTTACAGAAATCCTCCTCCACTGCCTCTTGAACTCTGGAATTAAACGGACATGCCACTGCACCTGGCTTCCACCGTATTTTTTAGGACAGGGCTCAGTGAACCTGAAGCTCACCCGTTCAGCCAGGCTGGCTAGTCAGTGAACTTCAGTGGTACTCCTGCTAGCCTAGTGTGAGACTGCAGATCTTTTTATGTGGTGCTTGTGGTCCAGCTCATGGTGCCTTACTTGATGACCCTGAGGGAACACTTCCCAGAAGATACCATCTCAATGAAGCTGATCTCTTTACTAATCACAGCTGAGTTTTCATTGATTGTCCTAGCTTTCACATTCATAGCACTGGTCTTTCCCTAATCACAAGCTGATCAGAAACCACAAGTTCTTTTTGCTTCATTGAGACAGGATTTGTCTGTGTAGCCTTGGTTGTTCTGGCCTTACTTTGTAGGCCAGGCTGGCCTTGAACTCAGAGATCCACCTGCCTCTGCCTCCCAGACTGTTGTGGTTATAGGCACGAGCCACTGTGCGCCTAGAAACCACAAATTCTTAATTCAAAATATCACATGAATGGTTCTAATAGAATCAGTGTGCAGTGCCCTCAGAGGCCAGGAAGGGCACTGGATCCCCGGCAACTGAAGTTCCCGCCATGTTGGTGAACGAGGGTCCCCAGGAAGAGCAGCCAGTGCTTTTAAGCAGTGAGCCATCTCTCCAGCCCCCAAAGTCCCATTGTTATCTATTTCTGTAGCTAAGCAGTCTCATTGGATTATAGTTTTCCTATAAGTGTCTCTTGTTACAAAGTAAGTGGAAGTGTACGGTGACATGTAAATTTGCATTTTCACTCACCATGGAAACAGTCCATAGCAATTCATAAAAGATTGTCCTTTGTTGAGACCGTGTCTCACGCAGAATTGGCCAGCCTCAGCCACACGGTGTGCTGTAGCATTGGCTAGCTCTGTCTGAGCATCTCATCTTTCTACCTCCAGCTCTCAAGTGCTGGGATTAAGGCATGTTCTGACATGTTCTCTATTCTTTGTCTTTTCCCTGGCTGTGTAGTATTCTGTTTATGAATGTGCCATGGATTATTCAGCTAATCTGTGTTTGGGCCAAAGTTTGTTGCCAAAGTTTAATGATTAGAAGTAATTGTGCAGTAAATAATCTTGTGTATAGTGCTTTAAAAAAAAAATTGTGCTTTTGTGTCTTTGAAAGTTCATTGTCAAGCTGGTTGTGTTGATGGATATCTGTAATCCCAGCACTTAGGAGGCAGAGGCAGGAGGATTTTTAGAAGTTTGAGGTCAGCCTGGGTTACACTGTGAGTTCCAAGCCTTTCATGATTACAGAATGTGACCCTGTTTCCCCAAAAACAGCAGTACAAAAGGAACCGTGGGGCTGGAGAGATGACTCAGAGGTTAAGAGCGCTGTCTGCTCTTCCAGAGGTCCTGAGTGCAATTTCCAGCACCCACATCATGGCTCAACCATTTATAGTGATATCTGCCCTCTTCTGATGTGCAGGCAGAACATGGTATATGTAATAAATAAATATATCTTTAAAAAAAGAAAAGAGAAGGAGTAGTGTCCTCCAGTCCCCAGCAGCAGGGCTGTGAGCCAAAGGCTGAATGTGCAGAGCGGCGCTGCTCTCTTCCTCCATTGCATGTGTGTCAGCCCGCACTCCTGGCGACACTCTGCAGGTCCACTCGTGTTATCTTACGATTGTGTGAAAGCCCCACTCCTGCTTTCTAGGAAATCCTGAGAAGGTAGCTGGAGGACGAGTGACATCCTTGCCTTAGTGGAAGTTCATCTATTTATAGATGGCTGTCTTAACCGTTTTCCCGCATCTAGGCTCTTGTGCATGTTCTTTGAGTGATTTCAGCAGCACAGAGCAAGCTCACGCTTGTCTCCTGAACTTAGGGCTTCCTGAACTCCTCTGAGCTCTCAGAACTTGCAGCTGGGCCCGACAGGCAAGGCTCACTTAAGGACCATTTGGCCTTAGCGATCGGTGAGTATCTGAAGGTTCTGGAAAGTGGGGTTAAGATCTGCCTCTCCTGGTATCATTGGTGTGTCTCTAAATCTCATTCAGTAACTGCAGTTCAGGAGTTGGAGGCAGATAATGGGAGTAAATGTGAAGAAACATGTCATATGCATGTATGAAATTCTCAACAAATAATTTTTTTAATAATAAGCTCATGTGTCTCTAAGGGCAACAGTATGGGAATATGGGTTGGCCATTTTGGGGAGCAGTAGACCCCATGAAAAGCCAAAGGAGCCCCATCTGCATGCTCTAACCAGTTAGTGCACTGAGGGGCGGGGGGTTCCAAGTACAGTCAGCATCCTGAATTCCATAGAGAAATTTAGGTTTGTAAACTGACTCTCAGCCAGTTAAAAGTTGTTCATCACTGTGCTGACTAAACAAAGCAGAGATGCAGAGATGAGGTGGCCCTTTAGCCCCCCGGGTGAGCACTCTGGGCATGCTATGGGGAAAAATACACTAAAGGTGAAAATGGAAATGTAAGGGTTGGAGATGGCTCAGCATTTGAGAGCCTGGGCTGCACTTCCAGAGGACCCTGGCTTGATTCCCAGCAGTAGCTTGGAGCCTTTTTTTTTTTTTTTTAAACTTAAGATCATCTATTTTAGGGATTTGATAGTGAATTTATGAAGATGCACATCTTTAGAAGTTATTGTGGAGAATCATGCCCTGTCACCGGGAGGGCCTAACAGTGGGGATCTTGCTCTCTTTCTGAGTGTCCTAATGGAGGGAGGGAAGCAAGCTGGATTAGAGTCAAGGCGTAGTTCTGTTTTTACGTGGTAATCTTTAGTTCTAAGTAGTGAGTCATGGGTGAGCAGCCAAGACAAAGCTGTATTAAATCCTGGAAGAAATGGGGTTTTGTCCTCTTAGCTTGTGGCAAGTAACTGTTGAGTAGAGTTCTGAGCAGTTTTCCTATTTACTTGATTTCTGGGTCTTCCTGTATATGGCCTGTAGCTGTAACTGGAGCCAACCCTGTGTCATCATGAGACCCTGTGGTTTAGCCTCCCGTCCCTTCCCAGGCTTTTGGTTTATTTTGGCTTCTCAGAAAGGGGTCCTGGGGAAACAAGAGAAAACTAGAATCTGTTTTTGGCTCTCATGAGGTTTTGAGAATGTTATCTTTGTACTTGTGATGAGCAGAAATGGGAACTGTCACGTGGCTGGGGTTTGGATTTCCTGGGGCTTTAGGTTACAGACCTTTCCCAGACATTGCTGGTAATGTGAATTGTGTATGTCAGTTGTGTTTGCAAGAGAGAATGGTTTGGTGGGGGGAATTCAGTTGACTCCTTTGAGTTAGGATTCCAGCTCTGTCACTTACTGCTGTGTGATCACTTGAATTCTCTCCACATGAGTTTAGCCTGAGGTTAGCCAGGTTCTGAATGCCTGCTGTTCATGAGACACCACAATACATGCTTCTTGCATATGTCACCTTCTTTATTTCTCCCAGTAACCCTGGTAGTATCATTTCCACTGTATAGATGAGGAAACTAAGGCTTGGCAGTTGATAAATGCCCAAGGTCACAGAACCAGGAAAGGCAGACCTCGAGGTGAGCCTGTGACAGCCAGCCTGTCTTGAGAACTCTTTGAGCGGTGAGCTCTCCCCCCACTTTCCTTACAAGCTGAGGCTGGTGTCTCCTTGTCTCACTGCAGATCTCCTGCCCATGCTCGCTCCAGCTCCTCTGTGTAGATGCCGCCACAGCCATCCTAACGCAGTACTGTTGTTTTCCTGTTTCTGCTCTTTCATAGGCAGACTGGGAGAAAACATGACACTCAAGAGAGCTGCGTGGGTGAAGGTGCCGTCTGGGTTCTACGTCGGCTCTTATGTGCATGGTGTCATACAGAGCCCTTTGTTGCACAGCCTGCTGTTGGGGAAGTACGGGGCCCTGGTGGTCTGCAAGACTCCAGAGCACATCAGAAACCTGGAGGAGGTGGGCCGCCGCCTGGGGCAGCATGTGGTGGGCATGGCCCCCCTGTCTGTGGGCTCCCTGGATGATGAGCCTGGAGGCGAGAGCGAGACCAGGATGCTGCCGCAGCCATACCTGCTGGACCCTTCCATCACCCTGGGACAGTACGTGCAGCCCCAGGGTGTGACTGTGGTTGACTTTGTGCGCTTTGAGTGTGGGGAAGGCGAAGAGCTCGCGGAGGCTGAGTAGGTTGTTGGCCTCCATGGAAATACTTATTTTCAGATCTGGATCTCCTATAAAAGCTACGTTCAAACCTCTTCAGCCCTCAGATTTGTTTTTGCTTTTTGGTCTATAATGACATTACATATTCATGGGTAAAGATATTAAATAGCTATGTAATAAAGATTTTCTCATTTGCATAATACTGGATTTAACTTGCTTTGGAATTTTGAAAACCTCATGCCAGGCTTGTGTGGTAAGTAATTTTTCCCAATAAGCTGTCTCCCCAGTCCCCAGCATCAATTTATTATGTTGTTCCTGTGACAAAAACCTCTCTCTCACTCTGCTTTGACTCTGTGACATTTTGGACCCTGGTGTTGTTCCTGTAATTTGGATTTCATATTTGCCGACCTGTGCTAGCGTTGTCTGGGGCTTGCGGCTTCATTTGTTGGCAGCTACAGCTTTCTGTAGTGGTTCAGACATTCACCAGTGTGTAATCCTGAAATGGGTGTGGATGGCTGGGTCTGGGGATTCTCTGGATAGCTATGAGGCAGATTTTTGACATTCTTGAGCCAGAGATGGGAATCACAGTGGTCCTGTTAGCTATAGCTCTCAGTGCCGCCATTTGTTTGTTTGCCTTGATGCTGGTGATTGAACCCAGGACCTCAGGCACACTGCTCAGGAAACTGTGCTTGCTCTTTGTTAGGTTCTGTTTTATTATTTTGAGTCAGGTTTCCTTTTTTTTATTATTATTATTATAATTTATTCACTTTGTATCCCAGCTATAGCCCCCTTCATCCCCTCCCAATCCTACCCTCCCTCCCTCTTCTCCTCCCTTGCCCCTTCCCTAGTCCACTGATAGGGGAGTTCCTCCTCCCCTTCTCTCTGACCCTAGTCTATCAGGTCTCATCAGGACTGGCTGCATTGTCTTCCTCTGTGGCCTGGTAAGGCTGTTCCCCCCTCAGGAGTTCATGTCTGAGACAGCCCCTATTCCCACAAGGGAACCCTGGTGGATACTGAGCTACCATGGGCTACATCTGAGCAGGGGTTCTAGGTTATATCCATGAATGGTCCTTGTTTGTAGTATCAGTCTAGAACAGACCCCTGTGCCCAGATTTTTTTGGTTCCTTTGCTCTCCTTGTGGAGCTCCTGTCCCCTCCAGGTCTTTCATCTCCCCCTTCTTTCATAAGATGCCCTGCATTCTGCCCAAAATTTGGCTATGAGAGACAGGGTTTCTTTATGTAGCTCTGGCTGTCCTAGAACTAGCTCTGTAGACCAGGCTGTCCTCAATCTCAGAGATCCACCTGCCTCTGCCACCTGAGTGCTGGGATTAAAGGTGTGCACCAGCCACTACCTGACCATTTTTTTTCTTATTAAAAAAATTATGTATTTATTTATTTGGTTTTTCAAGACAGAGTTTTTCTGTGTAGCCTTGCCTGTCCTGGAACTCACTTGTAGGCCATGCTGGCTTCAAACTCACAGAGATCTGCCTGCCTCTGCTTCCTGAGTGCAGGGATTAAAATCATGCATTACCACTACCCGGTTACTTTTCTTCTTGTTCTTGCTCTTCTTGTTCTTGTTCTTCTTGTTCTTGTTCTTCTTCTTGTTCTTCTTCTTCTTGTTCTTCTTGTTCTTCTTCTTGTTCTTCTTCTTCGTTGTCGTCTTCTTCTTTTCTTCTTTCTTTTCCTCTTCTTTCTTCTTCTTCCTCCTCCTCCTTCTTTTTTTTTTTTTTTTTTCCAAGACAGGGTTTCCTTGTTTAGCCTTGGCTGTCCTGGACTCACTTTGTAGACCAGGCTGGCCTTGAACTCACAGAGATCCACCTGCCTCACTTTTCTTTTTTTTTTTTTTTAATTTTTTAAAAACGTGTATGAGTGTTTTCCCTGCACGTACTCATGTGTACCATGTGCATGCCTGGTGTAGAAGAAGACTTTAGATATCCTGGAACTGGATTTAGAGACAGTTTGTGAGCCACCATGTAGGGACTGGGAACTGAACCTGGGGCCTCTCAAGAGTGTCCTGTGCTATTAGCCCTTGAGCCATCTCTCCTGCCCCACATTGCACTTTAAAAAAGAAAGCCAAGACAGGGTCTTCTCAGTTCCTCAGCTTGGCCTTGAACTCACTGTGTTCCTACCCCAGCTGAGATGGTCACAGGCTTGTGAACCAGGCCCAGCTTCAACAGTGTCTCTTACTTTCTCAGCACTGAAATAGTGACTACAGTCACCGTAAGAAGGAGCCCTGAATACTGAAGAGAGTCTGTGTGCTCACGTGGCCTCTTTATTTGAAAGGTTGAACATGCAGTGGCACATGGTAGGCCTGCAAATAAGTCTAGTGCTCTGGGGGCTAATGGTGCAGTTTAAGCAGATGTGGCTCCTGACGCATTCATGCTTTAAGCTTAGCTTCTGGTTCTCTCTCTGCCTTTCTGCGTTCGTGCTTTCTGCTAAGGGCCACAAAAGCTAAAAAGCAGGTGGTTAGCGTCAAATGTAGAACAGCCAAAAAAAGCAAGGATGAATGAGAAAGAATGCTGTGGTTGTCAGATCTGTTGTCTAAAGTAGCCAAATGTCGGGTTCAGACGGCAGGGGTCTTCTTTGCTGATGTTGGCACTGTGCTTTGCTGTCCTGCCATCTGACAGAGTCCTTGCTTTAGAAAAAGCCCTTTTCTTTCTTCAGCTGGAGCTGTTTCCAGCCAGGCAGAGCAGTAAATTGCCCTCTGGTGATGCCAAACACAGATACGAAGTCTTGTTCTGAGAGGTAATTCTAAGAGAAAACAGAATTTGTGGTAAGAAAGAAAGCAGGACATTTCCTTACTGCAAACAGGTGAGGTGAGTGGGCAGGAGGGAAGCCCAGGGGGGAGTGACATGGCTATGTGCTTGCCTAGTATGCAAGGGGTTCTGGCTTGGAGCTCTAGAACCACAAACAGTTGAGCGATAGGTAGGCCCTGAGAGAGAGATGTCGAATGAGTTTTCAGGAACACTGTTAACAGACTTAACCTGTTGATTGGTCATAGAGTCCCATTTGGGCCAGTGGATGAAGCTGACTGGGGTTTTCCACTCAGTCCTGGTTCCTTGCCTGATAGGCAGTGAATAGATTATATATTATGAATGAATTATAAACATTTGATTTGGGAAGGGCAGAAAATTGAATGGAGTGTTTTTCCTTGCCTCATGCCCTTAACTACCATTCTTTTTTTTTTTTTTCTGATAGTGTCAAAATTTATTTATTTTTTAAAAATAATTTATTTAATTTTATTTTATGTGCATTAATGTGAAAGTGTCAGATCCCTTGGAGCTGGAGTTACAGACCGTTGTGAGCTGCCATGTGGGTACTGGGAATTGAACCCTGGTCCTTTGGAAGAGCAGATGGTGCTCTTAACCACTGAGCCATCTCTCCAGCCCCCTCAAAATTTATTTTTAAATTTAAAAATTCCTTTTATACCAAAAATCTAACATACATTTTATAAACTATGGAGACAGAAACTACACAATCTATTACTAATATAAGGGGAAGATAATGGTCTGATTTCTTATTTTAATAATAATGATAATATTATTATATGATTTATTCAGTTTATATCCAAGTTGTAGCCTCATCTCCTCAATCCCACTCTGCTCCCTCTTCCTTCCCTGTCAATTTCCCCTAGTTCACTGATATGGGAAGTCTTCTTCCCCTACTATCTGACCCTAGCCTATCAGGTCCCATCAGGACTGTCTGGATCCTCTTCATCTGTGGGCTGGCTATGGTGCCCACCAAGGAAAAGTTATCAAGGAGCAGGCAACAGAGTTCTTGTCTGAGACTGTTTCTGTTCCCCTTACTAGGGAACCCAGATGGAGACTGAGCTGTCCTATGGGCTATATCTGGGCAGGGGGTCTAGACCCTCACTATGCATGGTCTTTGGTTGATGCATTAGTCTTTTCAGTCTGCCCTGGGCCATGCTTTTTTTGGTCTCCTTGTGTGGCTCCTGTTCCCTCCCGGTCCTTCTATCTCCACTATCTTAGATAAGACTCCATGCGCCCTGTCCAGAGTATGGCTGTGAGTCTCTGCATCTGCTTGGATCCCCTGTTGGGTGGAGCTTCTTAGAAAACATCTAGGAAATCATCCTAAGTGAGGTAACCCAGGAGCAGAAAGACACACATGGTATATACTCACTTATAAGTAGACATTAGCCATATAAGATAATAAAATCAACAGACCTAAAGAAGTTAAATAACAAGGAGGCCTGTTGTAGTTAGTAATTAATATTTTGAACTACCATTCTTATTGAGTACTTGTTTGGTGCTAGAGAGTGAGCCAGGACTACTGTCTGAGGAGCCTGAGAATGTGCTATACCACTGCACTGTACCCCAGTGCTCCAGGGTTCTTAAAATGCAAGATTGAGTAGGCCATACCAGCTCAGGGCCCATGCTGAGATCATTATGCTATGGCCTTTACTTATTGTTATTTTCTGAAATAGCATCTCACCATAGCCAAGACTGACCTCACTCTATAGCCCAGGCTGGCTTGGAACCTGTGGTGACCCACCTTGGTCCCTGTTGGGATTACAGTCATGAGCCACCAAGCCCAACTAACCTGTGGCCTCTGCTTCTAAGAACATTGTAGTCTGAGTGCCTGACACTTGGTTAGGGAAGATGTTACGGAAAATTCAGAGTCCTTTAACCAACTCCCTCAAGGGGAAAATCCTTTCATTCATCTCTCCATTCAACATGAGTATATTAACTCATTTAACTAAAACGTAAGACATGACAATGAATGATTTCAAACGGTGGAGGAAGAGAGAGGTCAGGGGGATAGAGTTAGGAAACTGGTAGTCAGGGAACCAGCCAGACCTGAACTCCAAATGGCAAGGAGATCGGAGGTATTTTACTAGTGGGGGACCACACAGCAATGCCAGCAAGCATAGAGTGTCAGTGGCTGGGGAGAGCATGTCCAAGGGATAGAAAACCAAGAGCCGGCTGAAGGACGATAAGGAGGTATGTAAGGTCCCCAAAGGGCAGGGCCAGACTGCAGAGGAAGCCATTTGATGTGTTTTAAAGTTTTCTGCTGCACTTATTGAGTGTGTGTGTGTGTGCAGGCATGCATATGGAGGTCAGAGGACAATTTGTGGGAATCAGTTATCTCCTCGCACTGTGTGGGTCCTGGGTGCCGAACTTAGGTTGTTACATTTGATGGCGAATGCCTTCAGCCTCTGAGCCACCTTGCCAGCCCACATGATGTTTTAAATAGAGTGGTCTCAACCCTGGATATTAATTACAATCATGCCAGGGAAGGATTTGGGGAACCGTGGGCAAAATAATTCACAGCAGTGGTGGCTGGGCTAGACTAGCAGCAGAAAGGCGAAGGGTAAACAGAGGCTGCCAGATGCATTCCTTTGGGAGTAGGAGGAGCCCTTGAACTGACTGATAGCTGAGATGCCCCTTGAGGTCCTGCTGTGTGCACCTGAGCTTGGTGCTTTAACCTATGTGGGCTCCATCCCCAACACTCAGCTCCACAACCACACACCTCCTTTTTGGCAGGGTTCACGTCCTCGGGCAGCTCCTGGCTCTGGCTCTTCAGCAGGACTTCTATGGGGTAATACTTTGGATCACTTTCATTAGAATTCATGAAGAGGGTGGCATTCTTCATGTCCTAAATAGGAGAAGGGTACAGACGCAGGTGAAGGCCAGTGCTTCAGGTTGGCCGCAGAGCCCTGTGTGCACAAGGTTTACATTTTGGCTTAGACTGCTCCACTCTCTGTAGTCATCTTTCAGAATGGTGGTCCCCAAACATGGATGCATGTCAGGACAACTTTGGGAGGCTGAGTCAGCAGGCTAACGTGAATCTTTAGAGCCAGACCACATACATATTGCACTTAAGTCTTTCTATATTTATTCATTTATGTAGTGCTAGGAATTGAAGCCAAAGCCTCATGTGTGCTAGGCAGGTACTCTGACACTGAACAGTATACCTCCAGCCAAAAGTCTTTTCTAAATACTATGATTATGTCCTTCTCTTGGCGTATTTATTTAGGCCCCATGTTTCCAGTTGTTAAGTGCCTTTTGGCTGAAGCTACACCTAAGCACTCTTTAGAGGCACTAAGTTCACCCTGCTAGCTCTGGGAGCTGATTCTCCAAGCACAAAGGACAACATGCAAATGTTGGAACATCCTTTGCATCCTATGCTGATGTCCCGGGCTGCTGGCTTGGGGCTGCAAGTTCCGCTTCTTTTAGCTGTTAAAGTAGGGGCCAGTGGCCTAAGCTGCTGTGGATTTCACTGTCAAACTAATAAGGTATCATTTGGGTTAGAAGCTTCTCTCTAGGAAGTACTACCGAAAACCCCAATCTTTCCAGAAAAGGCAGAAAAGGTTGAGTAATGAAGTTAGGCTTTGTTCTCATTGTTCTCTCTTATTTGTTGAGGCAGGGTCTCATGTATCCCAGGCTAGCCCTCCACCCAATATGTAGCCATGGATGACCTTAAACTCTTTAATTTATTTTGTAAATTATGTATATGAGGATACGTGTACACACTGGTACAGGTGCTCTTGGAGTTCAGAGGAGCACACACTTCTGGAGCTGTACTTACAGCTGCTTGGGAGCCACCCAGACAGGTGCTTGGACTCTGGAAGCACTTCACACATGTGCTCTTACCTACAGAGCCAGCTCTCTAACCCCGGGTACCCCTCATGTTCTGGTGCACAGTAAATGAGGAACTTGGCTCTGAGATCTGTTTTCTCCCCATCTTCTTCTCCCCGACTAGTTTATTTTGGGGGTTTTTATCTTGTTTTGTTTTGTGGTTTTTTGAGGCAGAGGTCTTGCTGTGTAGACTAGGCTGGCCTAGAACTCATGATTCTCCTGGATTTGCTTAAGTATTGAGACCTGCATTTCTATTGATTTAAAATAACCTCTAAGAGTGACCGTAATTAAGTGGTTAGGCACTTTACTAGTTTACACCTCAAACCAAACGGAACAAAATAGCCCTTTGCATCCAGGTAGACTAGAGAAGTCCCTGGGACAAGGGAGGGGTTTTCCCCTGCAGCACCTGCACCTCTCTCCATCCCCTTGGGGTCTGGGCATCTGTAAGTGTAAGCCCAACTCACAGCAGTGATTCGCAAGATGGCGGCAGCATCTCCCAGCTCTTTCTTTAACTGCTCGTATGATTTTCCTGCCTGGGGAGAGACAGGGAAAACGGGATGAGGTGTTGATTCATAGGGAAGAGGTGTTGTAGGCCTGGTATGTATTTTCAGGAAAAGCAAGACGTGGTAGAATCCTAAAGCACTTCGGTGTAACTGAGGTCCCCGTGGGGTCTGCACACGTGGGTGTCAGAAGCCCGTCCCACCGTGAGTCAGCACCCCACCTCCCTGGCAGTCAGAACAGCACCCCAGTTTCTTTTTTCTTACACTCCAGATGTGAGGGTCCCATGCCAGGAACCAGCCTGTGAAGGTGGGAGGCTCGAAGCCCTGTTTGATGATCAGGATCGGTGTATCAGGATCTCGGCCACTGGGGTGTGTTACCAGGTACTCCTGGGCAGCTGAGAGAGCCCCCTCCTTCTCTGTGGCGTTGGCCTCAGCGCCTATCCACAGGAACACCTGTCACACCAATTTCACGATGTTAGTGCACCCACGCTGCTCAGCCCCTCGGCCAGGCAGAGCCTCGGAAAATGCTCTCAGCCTCGAGTGTGCTCCAAAGAGGAAGAGTCCAAAAGCAGCTTGGGGTTGTGATCTTAACTGCCATGTGTATCTTCCAAGTTTTTACCTCTGAACCTTGACTTCCTGAAATAGCCCACAAAACACCCCTCAGGCTGCCTCAGTACATCAGACCTCAGCGTAGGCAAATGTAGCCATTCCTATCTAAGTGCTTATCAGAATGGCCGTCAGTCCCCGAGGACAGAACTGAAAGTCAGGTCGATAGCTCCGTATTAAGCCACTGGACTCACCAGCTTGATGAAGGCAGTCGCCCAAGCTGTCACCATCCCTCTCTTCCTGTTTCACAGCTGCTCTTGGCTCCTTCTCGGCTCCTATCCTGCTCTCCCATGCGATAGGTCAGGCCCACACAGCCCACAGCTACTTCTCAGCTATATCTTTTGGGTATATCTTAGCACTGTCTTACATTTTTGTTTGTTTCTGTGGTTTTGAGACAGGATCTCACTGTGTGGCCCAGGCTGGACTCAGAAATTTTCCTGCCTTGGCCTCCCAAGTGCTGGGGCTGCAGGCCTGAGCCGCTATGCCAGGCTTATTTTATTCTGATAGGATTTCCTGCCTGGCTTTCCAGGTACCTTTCCTTTGCCCAGAGTCCTGCTTGTCCTTTGCCACCCAGCCATCTCCTCTAAGAGGGCTTCCAAGAGGTTCCCAACTGCATTGACCCCCTCTATACCTCATCACAGGGCACTGACATTCTCTTGCCTGGCTCTTCCCGCCAGCCCATACGCACGGTGGCACTCATTAGCCTGAAGGAAGCCTGCTCTGCTGATCTGAAGAAAACAGCACATACAGGCCATTTCACTCATATGCTGTTCTCATCACTCCTCAAATAAGGGCAGGACATAGGTTACGCCTTATTGTTTCGAGGTGAGAAAATTCCCAGGGAGGTGAGAATCAGAATGCTTTGTTTTTGTCTGGCTTTTTCTATTGTATTTACTTAGTTAACACAGGTGGAAAATAGGTGTGTGTGTGACACAGTGCAGGTCAGAGGGCGACTTGTAGGAATCCGTTCTCTGCTCACACTCTTGGAGATGGAACACTGGTTGTCAGCTTTGGTGGCAAACCTCTACTCACTGGGCCATCTTGCTGGCCCATTTTTTTAGCTTTTTGAGACAGGGGCCCTGGCTGGCCTTAAACTTTGCTTCTTCCTGCCTCTGCCTGCCAACTGCTTAGATTCCAGGCCTGTCCTGGTGTGCTGGCTGAAGGCTGGGGAATATTAGACCTCATTCTATGCTGTGGCATAAGCAGTCTCTGGTTACCACTGAAGATGCTTGCCCTAGAGAGCTGATCCAGCACCAGCCTACTTTCATCCTGGATGCAGATGCCACACAGAAGCCAGCCCAAACTGTGGAGGTCTTTGGCAGCTGTCCTAACTGTGTGGCTGTGTCGTACCTGGTCCCAGGTGTCCAGGAGCATCACGTCCCCTGGGTTCAGGTCGTCCTGGGTGAAGTCCGTGACCTCAGTCACAGAGAACCGGCCAGTCTTATTGGAACACTCAAAGAGCCGGACTTGGATGTCCAGGATTTCTTGCTGTAGCCTGCAGTACAGTCAGGTAGAAAGACAGAGCTGTGTAGGAATCGTGTGTATAGCATGGGTGCCTGTGTGTGTTTGCTCATGTGTGTACATATGAGGACAGAGAGTCCACCTTAGTTTTTGAGATGGGATCTCTTACAGAGAGACAGAGTGTCAATTTGAGTAGATTAGCCAGTCAGCAAGTCCGAAGGATCCTGTTGTCTGCATCTCCCCAGTGCAGGGAGTACAGGCCTGCGTTGCTGTAGCTGGCTTTGTCTGTTTTGTTACATGCCTCGTCAGGATGGAGCTCAGGTCCTTGTGCTCACACAAGGACTTTGCTGACTGAATGTGTCCCCAGCCTGGAAATCCCGTCGAAAAGTGTGAGGGATCTTAGGTTATGTGCAGGCCACAAGCCTAGAGGACAAGAGAGCCAAGAATATGGGACTGACGTGTTCACGAACCTTTTGTTATTAGCATAGGGTGTTTTTCCTCCCAGAAGGTCCCAGAATTCAGGCGGCTCCTGGCCCTCAGCCACAGTGTCAGCATCGCCATCACAGAGAAGCTCAACCAGCTCCTTAGCCATCGCCCGCTCATCCCCACTAGATCCCTGAGTCCGGAGAGAACACAGGTGTTAGAAACACAGGGCACAGCGACAGGGGACAACAGCTCTGACAGGCCTCACCTGAGAACTGGGAGAGGTTTGCGGCAGTGCTGGGGCCAGGGAGGGAGATGGCATGCAGGTGACCCACAGCATTCACAGGCAGAAGTCACCCGTGTTTTAGTGCACGGTTCCCCTGTCAGTGTAAATGCTGGGTATTTAGTCTGGGTCTTGCATTTGCATATGCTTAGCAAATGCTCTGCCTCTAGCAAGCACTCTGTCCTCCAGGCCTAGCAAATAGTTTTCATTCTTTTTGTTGTTTTTTTAGACAGGGTTTCTCTGTATAGCCTTGGCTGTCCTGGACTCACTCTGTAGACCAGATCTCACAGAGATCTGCCTGCCTCTGCTCCCAAGCACTGGGATTAAGGGTGTGTGCCACCATTCCCAGATTCATTCTTTTTTTTTTTTTTTTTTTTTTTTAATTGACTCTGGTTGAGCACCACTGGGCTTAATCCTAGAATTCTGTCCCCAAGGTACAGTTACCACCCTTCTGGAGTCAAGCCCTGAGTCCTGAACTCTTGACAACTGCTTAGCTGCTTTCCACTAGAATAATCTTGTCATTTCAAGACTGTCTTAAGGAGAAGCATGTAACATTCAGCCTCGGAGACTGGCTGCTTTCATGTAGCATGAACTGGAGACTTTCATGTTGGCTTATGCATGGCTCTTTCAGTTTTATTGCTGAGCAGTATTCTATTGAATGAATACATCCGTGTTTATCTACTTTCCAGATTTCTTCTCATTTGAGGGAATTGTGAGCAAATGTGCTTTACACATGTACAATTCTTCACGTAAGGAGGTTGTTGTTTGTTGGTTTGTTCTTTTTAAGATTTATTTTACTTGTATTTTTATTTACTTGTTTTGTCCATGTGTATGTATGTGCCCTGAGTGTGTGCCATGCCTGTGGAGGTCAAAGAGGGTGTTGGATCCCCTGGAACAGGAGTTACAGATGGTTGTGAGCTACAGTGTGGGAACAGAACCCAGGTCCTCTGCAAGAGACCTCTCTGCTGAGCCATCCCTCTAGCCCCTAAAGAGGTGTTTGATTGTTTGTATGTTTATGTGTGTGTATGTATGTGTTTGTACATACATGTGTATGTGTGTACACGTGTGTATGCATGTGTGTGCACACATATGAGTGTGTGTGTGTGTGTGTGTGTGTGTGTGTGTGCCAGTGCTAGGGTTACAGGTAGGAGTTCCCCCTCAGTTGTTGTGTGGCCGGGACTGGAACTTGGTGCAGCAGTCTGCTCCTTAACCATTGGCCTTGCTGAGGGCTGAGGGTGGCCCAGGGCCCACTTGAGTTCCAAGAGGCTCTGAGGACCCAGCAGTCGCCTCACCTTGCCGTACCACAGGTAGTGCTCCGCCTGCGTCCCCACCAGGAAGACATCATTGGAGTTGAGTGAGGAGGCGAAGGCGGAGACTTCCAGTGCTTTGGTATTAGATTTGTGGTTCCCTTGGATCTGGAAGAGTCTCACTGGAGGGGCAGGCTCCACTTTCCCCTTCCTGGAAGTCCCGCCCTAGAGAGAAGGAAAGTGGAGTCCAGACCTACAGAGCGCACGTGGGCTGGCTGTATCGGACCTGAGCTGCACTGGGCAGCTTTTCCCCTCACCGTCTTTACCCCTCACTGTCCCCTCACTAACCGGAAAGGTCAGGGTGAGAACCCCTGTGCCAGCGGGGTCCCTCAGCACTCACTGACCTCAGAGTAATCTTGGGAAGCAGATGGATCCCCCATGCACCCTGAGGTTGGGAAACCAGCTTACACGTGGCAAGAGAGGGACTGGGCGTCAGTAATTACTGACACCACATTGCCTGCCCCGCCCTCCGCCAGGGCTCCATAGCAGTGGGCTTAGTGTGCTGGGCAGTAAGTGGGCTGGTGCAGTGCTGGGAGGGAGCAGGCTGTGTAACCGTCCCCTACACACAGCTCACATTGCCACAGACCTGAGCACTAGCCAGACAGCTGCAGGACACTAAGCTCCTCCTTTGTCCCTCCCACCCACCCCCACCACCCCTACCCCAGACCCCACCTCACTCCGAAACCTGAGCAACCCTGCTCAGGGTGGAGTTTTCACGGCAGGCCCTCACCTCGTAGATGACCAACTTCCCTTTGAAGATGGCCATGAAGTGGCGTGGCTCCTTCCCCATGCTCACCCGGACCTGCACGGGAGCCCCATCAAATTGCTGATCCACCTCCACCGCCAGGTGGGCCGAGGCTGCCAGCTCATCCTGGGAAGCGTGGCGGCCCTGCAGTTGGTGAGAGGAGTGAGGGGCCTCGGCCCAGGGGCCGGGGAGCATCGGGCTCCAACACTGAGAGCTTGTGCCTGGCCTACCTGCCAGATGTACAAGATGTAATGGGGCTTTCTGTTCACATGGTAGGTGTACAGAACCAGATAGCAGTCTCCTCCGTAGAAGAAGCCATACCACTGACGCTCCACGGGGACCAGCTCCAGGTTCTCAATCCTCCAGACCTGGCCAAGAGGAGACACGGTTCCTCAGAGGGGCACCCTGTTCACCCTGAAGACGCAAGCAGGGACCAAGTACTGGCCACCATCTCAAGTACCCTTACCCCCCTGGGTCCTCTCTTGCCTTAAAGGCCCATCACATTGCATGATCTGAATCCTGAGAGGTCACTGGTCACCACCGGGCATGCTGGTCCAGTGCTTCCTATCATGCAACCGAGGACTTCACAGATGACTTAAATATAACTTCCAGGGGATAGCCCACTGGGGGAATGCGTATCTCTCACTTTCCCGAAGCATTGTAGGGAAACGGCCAACTCCAAGCCTCTCAAAGGACACAGAATGTGGAGTGGGGAAAAAGCAGTGTCCAGAGTGGGCTGCCGTCTGCAGCAGGCGCACCCCAGAGGCCCAGTGTTGCCTCACCGGGCTCACCTCAACTTTCCCATTGCCATCATCCACCATCCTTTCCTGAGCAGCCACTTCTGGCTGGGTGTGTAGCAGAGTCACGTCAAACTTGTCCTGGGAAATTTTAGCTGCAGAGAAAGGGATGGGACAAGCCACATGAGCAAGACACTCATGCCTCTTTCTAGGGCCCCAATGGAAGAACACACACTTGGGGAAATCTCACCGATTTTACCAGTGCTGAACGGTTTCCCTAGGCCTGCGTTCTGATCCTTCACCGACCATTTCTGGAACAACTGTTTGAACATGGCCGACTCAGCACCATCATTGACTGTCTCCACGTTGGTGCTGCTGGGATAACCCTTCATCTTGATGAAATCCTACAGTCCCCACCCCCACACAAAAGCATGTCAGCCAGGGAATGTTCTAAGTGCTTGCTCATCTGGAAGGTCCAGATAAGGTCAGGTGGTGGGGATCCCCCTCCCCCTTCGTGCCCCTGGGAATCATGGTTAGCTTCTACCTCACTTCTGGGGTTCCAAAAGATTCAAACACTTTGTTGTCTCTTCATTAGGCCACCATGCTTATGGCCATTATGGACCGATTTCACAAGACCTACTATGTAATTCTACTGACTGTGTCATAGTTATTTGCTCATTTATTGCTTTTAAGCAATCACACTTCAGTCATATGCTGGGTCTGCATAATTTAGCAAATTCCCCTTGAGGACTGCTTTAACAATAGCACCAAGTTTGGTTCTGAGTACTTCACAGACAGGTCTGGGAGACAGGGATGGCCCCTGCTAGATACTGGAAAAAGGAGACACAGAGATGCTCGGTCTTGCTCAGGACGCTCGGCTGGAAAAGGTGAAGCCTACATGTATACTCTGAAGTTCATTTATGTTGCTCTTCTGTGCTCAGGTGCCTGGTGTGCTTGGGCACATGGCTATAGTGGTACTGGCAAAATATTCAGGTGGCGTAGCACTGCTGCAGCTCTTACCAGGGCTTTGGACATGGCCGCCTGTTTCTCAACCTTCGTGGCTCCTTTGCCTTTCCACATGTAGATCTTGGCTCCACTATGGTCCAGGATGTAACAGTCCTGAGTCAGCCGGGGATAAGTGTGCTTACTGACACTGGAGACAAAGGGAGGACTTTGCCCAGGGTCTGCCTTTGAAGTTACTTCTTGCTTCCGCAAGCGAGCGAAGCCCCTTCCAGTTCAACTTACCTCGTGCTTCAGTAGGTCCTGGACCAGAGGCCTTGTTGCCACCTCTGTGACTGACAGCTGCCCAGCTGCATCGGAGACGCTGGTGGAGGAGAGAGGTTAGCCCCCGCCTGCTCTCTGCAAAGCACCCTAAAGCTAAAGTCACGCTTTGGTGCAGTGCTTCTGGGCAGAGTTTGACCTCTTGAGATAGACACGGCTTGACTACAGAGAGCGAAACACTCCACTCTCTGGAGGAGACTGTGTCTCTCTCAAACTATCCCATCCACATCCCCAGGCATGGATACACCAGAGGACAAGAGAGGTCCCACCCACAGGCTGGGAGACTTTCTAGCAGGAACAGAGGACAGCTGCCTCCTCCAGGGAACTGTTCCTGAGCTCCTTGTAGGAAAAAGCATGAACCAAGAGCAAAGGCAGATACCTCTACCCAAGCCGAGTACCTGGCTCTCTAGAGGACACCACACCCAGCCTCCAGCCCACAGGCAGTTTAAACACTCACTGATACAACATGATATTTGATTTCTGCTGCTGATCCATGGCCTCATCAGGGACCGAAGGCTTGATAACGGAGCGTCGGCCGAGGGTGTCCTGGAGGACTGTCATCAGCTCTGGGCTGGCTGCCTCTTTGTCTCCCTCAATCACCCCGATTTTGGCACGGCCCCCTCGCTCCCTGTCCCGGATGTCCTTTGCGAGAAGCATAGCCTGCCAGAGGAGCCAAAGGAGGCAAGCAGCTCAGCCTGCACTCTTAGATTATCCTGGTGCTGAGGAGTGAGGCCTGCCTTGCAAGACAGGTTCTACTCTAAGCAGGAGTCCTCCTGGGCTCCTGGGAGTCAGCCAGCATAGAAAGGAGAGGGAGAAGGCACCCAAGAGAGCCCAGCTTGACACCAGGCCTGGAGGAGAGGAGAGGGAGCCAGACCTTGAGGCGTTCTCCGCTGTTGCTCTCTGGGCCATTCCACTGGATAATGACCATCCCAAGGTCCAGCAAGAAGACGTCACCTCGATTAAAACTGTCCCAGCTCACTTCCACCTGAATGTGAGGAGCCAGTGCCACTTAGGGGGGTGGTTAGGTGCCAGGCAGGAGCACAGGAACAGTCATGTCTGGGGCTTACCTCAGCAGCCCTGATGCTTCTCTTCCCCTTTACATGCAGCAGCCGCTTCACATCATAGGAGTTGGTCTCCACGTGCGTCATGCCAGAGGCCACACCCCCCTTTTTATAACTGAGGAACATTGCTCCAGTTATTTGCTGTGTGCCTGCTTTGTGCTAGGTTCTGGGGAGACTACTGGGAATTAAATACAGATATCGGTTTCTACCCATGTGGGTTATAATAACCCACATGAGCAAAGAAAGTGCAGATACCGCACCTGCTGCCTCCAGGGTAGAGGCCAGGGCAGCCTTTTCTGAGGGGACCACTGAGCCTGAATGTTGTAATGAGAAGTCCCAGTGAGGACTGCTGGCAGAGGGAAGCCTGCTGGGTTTACAGGCCTGCGCCTCACCCATCCTGTTAAGCGTTTATGCTTCCCTGCACCAGGGTGCGACCTCCCAAGCCTCGCCCTGTCACAGCGTGCATTCTGGCAGTCCAGTGTCCCCTCTTCAGCCCAGTAAAACATGTCCTATTGCCTGTGAGCATGACTTTCATACACAGGAGTTGTCTCTGTTGTGTATCTGTCTGTGCCTGTGTCCCGTGCGCTAGGTTTAATCGGCAGTTGCCGCAGAAACGCCTGCTGTCTTTCTGGAACAGACAGCTACCTACATTGCTCACGGCCTCCCCTCACCACTAATGCATCATCATAAACACTGTGGATCAGCCTGGGGTTTTGAGTTCTGAGAAATGGGGTTCACAACAAGCAGTTCCAGTTATGTTCCGGAATGCGGTGCAGATCCTCACTCCCTCCAGCAGATGGGAGGTTCCATTGGTTCCTCAGGCCGCCCAGCTCTCCGCCCCGCCCACTCCGATTGGCATTTCCTTGATGGGTACAAGTGACAGCTTTGTTTTGCTTTGCATCAATCCTTTGGGTTACTTCTTTGAAGGCACCCTGCCCGCTGAGTTCCCTCTCCTGGAAACTGCCGTATCTGTCTCTGCTCTGAGCACAGCTACTTACATGATGCCCTGCTTGAAGTAGCCCCGGAAAGTGTCGGACTCGTGGTACTGGACCTCGCGGTGCTGCACAGGGCTTCCTCCCAGGTAGTCGTCTAGCTGTGTGGTATAGATGGCCGCACAGCTCTGCTCATCCTGGGAGGAGTCCTTCCCAATCCAAAAGTGGATGTTCTGGGAGAGGCGACTGCCCACTCGCCGGGTCTAGGATGTGGCCAGAGAGGCAAGATCAGGCCCCAGCTCACCCCTGCTCTTCTGCTGGCTTCTTAGGTGTGGGAAGGCCCCAGGATGCTGGCCCTACCATCACACAGCAGCCCTTCTTTATCTGTACGTGGGTACAAGAGCCGGCATACCCATTTCCAGGCCTTCGGAAGCTAGGTCCTCCCCACAGTGGCGTGTTTAACAGCTCGTTTCTAAAGTGGGGAATCCTCTCCAGTTGGATGTCAGGCTTAGGCTGCAGGTCCCTACACTCTCAGAGCTGTCCAGCTAACACTGTCGATGTGATGTTAATTCCTCCAGGAGATTGAGCACTTCTTGAAAAGTTGTTTTTTTGTTTTTTAAACAGCTAGCCCAAGCTAGCTCTAACTTTCTGAGGTTGGCTCTGAACTCCTGATCTTTCTGGTTTCACCTCTCAAGTGCTGGGATTATAGGTGTGTGCTTCACTCTTTGGGTTTTTGGAGACAGAATGTTTGCCTGTAGCCCAGGCTAGTCAAGAACTCACTGTGTGGCCCAGGCTGAGTAATTTAGTGTGTGGCTTGGACCCTATGAGGGGAAGGTGCTGTGTGTGTGTGTGTGTGTGTGTGTGTGTGTGTGGCTATAGAGGTTCAGGCCGAGGGCCCCATGTCTACCGTCTGAAGCACAATCCTAACCCAGTGCCTGATGGTGGCCATTCTCAGTCAACTTGAGGCCAGCCCTGCACGGTGTGAGGAAGAATCTAGACATACTGGGAGCCCCACTTCTCTCACCATAGAGCTTTCAATAGCCTGGGAACTGCCTGCAGAGGAGGAAATGCTGGCTGTGGAGGACATTGCTCACCGAGAGGATGATGTAGCAGTCTCCCTCATAGAAGTTGCCGTGAGCACTCAGGGGCACCGGCGCCAGCTCCATTTTCTAGAAGGATGAGCAGAACATGCAGCAGTGGACGTCCTCCTGCCCTCCCCACAGCCTCTCGCCCCTGTTGCAGGCCCGGCTGGTAGAGGAGCTGCCTGCCTGCCTACAGGGAAGGTGGGAATGCAGGATGGCACCACCACCCTGGTTCAGGGAGCTCTGCCAGTCACTCTGTGTCTGAGTGTTCTGGTGTCCTTCCCTGTGGCCTCCCCAGGTCCTACTTGGTTTGATCACCAGTACTCTGGGAAGGCTTATGAGCCCCTGAAGCCCATGGCAGGGGGAAGAGGTGGCTATAACTGTCAGATAAAAACATAAAAACCCTCCCCTGAGCTCTGTGAACACTGTCCAGTGTCCTGACAATGCATCCAACCCTCTTGCTCCCCACTGACCACCTAGAGCCACCAGGCTGCTCCAAAGGAAGTTTGGGAAACAGCAGGGACAGCCGAGAGAATGACAGCAGCAGGTGGCACTCCAGGCTGAGGATCCCACATTCAGAGTCTGGGCTGGGAGACCTGACTTGCTCGCCCCAGAAGGGCCAATTCACATAGTCCCAGATGGAAATAACTTTTCGTTTCCAAGTGAGGCAAACCTGGAGCCATATTTGTGTGTTCTAGTGTAAAGGATTAAAACATTTTATGACTTCAGGTTAGTGCCCATCCCTTACATGTTTTGCATTTATTTCTTGTATGCCACCCTGCACATGTGAAACTCAGACTCATTTGGTTCTCTTCTATCACCTTGTGGGTCTCATGCACTCAGGCCTCAGGCGTGGCCGTACATAGCTCTATCCACTGAGCGACTGGCCAGCCCTTCCTAGTCATTTTGAAGTATGCGGGGAGCCTTCAGCAGTGGCAGCAGACTGGGATTCTCACAAGCCCTGAGGTTTGACAGAGAGCTGTGACTCATGTTTGAGATTGAGGGGTGAAGTGTTACTTGCAGGGTTCAGGCTGCAGCAACTGACTAGGTAGAAGTGGGTATGTCCTGCTATCTGGTAGGTGCACCCAAACCAGAGCTCAGAGCCACCTGGAGGCTAAGCCCAGCTGGTGAACGGATGAGCAGCATGCCCCACACCAGAGCTAGGAGGAACCGGACATGTTCCGTTTCTCCGACCAGTAAGGGACCTGTCTTTCTGAGCTGTTTACTGGAAGTGTCGCCTCACCACGGACAAGCGTGGTTCTGCCTGGGGACCTGCCCTGAGCCTGGGAGGCTCAAGGCTGGGAAGACCTGCTCTCAGACGCTGACCCTCAGTAACCACAGGCTCAGACTCCAGCTGTCATGGCGGGTGTGACTCCCCCTCGGCTCACCTCAATTCTCCAGGTGATGATCCCAGGATCATTGCCCACAGCCCTGAAGGCACTGCTCAGGGACATGATGTCTGTCTTTCTGAAACTGAAATATCACAACGCTGGAGGTGGACAGGAGACCACCACTTCTCCGAAGACACGTCCCTCGTCTTGCCAGCCATCACACTGCCCTCCTGGCATATCCCCACCACACCACTACCATTTCACCATGGTTGTTCCAATTCACAGTCACCTGGCTGGGCTGTCCCTACTCCAAAGGTTTGTTTCCTACCTGCAGCTGTTTTGGTTAAGAGCTCTGGTTAATAGCAATACATGTTCCCTTTAAAAAAAATTATGCTGGGCACGGTGGCCCACACCTGTGATCTCAGCACTCAGGGAGGCAGAGGCAGGCCAATCTCTGTGAGTTGAGGCCAGCCTGGTCTATGAAGCGAGTCCAGGACAGCCAAGTCTACACAGAGAACCCCTGTCTTGAAAAACAAAACAAAATTTTGAGTTGCTGTGTTAAATTCCCTGAAGCTGAGTTACAGGCAATTATGAGTCACCTAAGTGCATGCTGGGAATGAAAGTCAGGTTCTCTGGAAGAGCAGCCTGTGTCATCTGTCCAGTGGGGGCAGGGCAACATGTCAAGCCTGTGTTGAGCCATTGCGTTCATGCTTTCATTCTCAGGCGATGGCCCTGTCTTCGTCCTGTCAACCTTACAGTGCAGGTGAGGCTCAGAGAGGCAGTAAATAACTCACCTATGGGCACACACTAGAATGGGCTCCACATTTGAGCTTTTTTTGGTTTCGTTTTGTTTTACTTATTTACTCTCTGAGACTGATTGTCCTGGAACTCAAAGAGATCCAACTGCCTCCGGAGCGCTGGGATTAAAGGCATGCGCCAGCACTAGTGGGCACATTTTATTTCATTAACTTAGGGTCTATCCACATAGCCCAGGCTACTTACAAACTCCTCCTCAGCCTCCTGAGTGCTGAGATTACAGGCTTCTCCAAACAGACCCAGCTCCATACCTTTTGTTTTCTTATCTGACCTTAAAAGCATGTGTTTTAGCCACCTTTTCATGCTGCTACCTTCCCCAAACGACTTTTAGTGGCTCATAGAGAGAAAGTCCAGTCAGAAAAGGTATTTCCAAATGAAGCCCCATTCTCCTAATTTCTTGAACTCATTTTCCCAGATCCCTGGCAAGGCCTTGCCACCCCACGTGCCGTCAGCTTTTATTTTTAATTTTATAAATTGTTTTAGAACAGTAACAACCCTTTATCATGACTAATACATTAACTGGTCTTGCAGAAGAAAATAAAGTAGAATGGCAGGGCCTGGGACAAAGGGACAAAGAGCGCCACCAGGGAAGGCGCCACCAGGGAAGAGTGGCCTCCTTGCCTGTACCACATAGACACTAGCTTCTCTGGAAGGACCGTCCAGGCAACTTAAGCGGTTTTCAGCACCGTAGAGCTGAGCATGGCTGGGGAGAGGAAAGAAGAGGTGAGAAGACAGGTCTCATCCTCTCTACAGTCAGGACTTGGCTGGGATCACTAACAGGCTGGTCCCACTGTGATTGTGCGGCCTCACACTCAGAAGACTGAGCTGACAGCAGACCAAATGATTGAGTCTTAGGTTTCTCCTAAGACTCAATGCAAGGCTGCAATGAGATAGTAACAAAAGAAATCGCCGGGGGATCGTGTGGCTGTTGGATATTTGGTGATGTCCGGGCTTGCTGAAGGTGTTTGGTACGGGGTGACTGCAAATGGTTGACTGCCTGTCACCTCCAGCACTGCCCCATCTGAAAACAGTCTGACCTGACCATTCCTTTCTTGAGCCTTAGTGGATAAGCCCAGGTCCCTTTTGTCTCTTGCTGTACTGGCAGCAGACTAAAGCCGAGCCTTGACGCGGAACTGCCAGTGTTTGAGTATTTAATTTGATAACTGGTGCTGCCCCGCCCTGCGCACCCCACCCTGGGACACTCAGAATCAGATCCCTCAGATCCATTTTCTGACTTTTCTGTCTAACGAATGACCCTCTCAGGAAAGGGGACCAGAGCCAACATATTCCTGACCTTCCGGCATTAGCACAGTAAGTCTGAGCCCCTAGTGCAGTCCCATGTCCCCCACAGAACCTCAGAATCCAGGCGCTGACTAGGGAGCCAGAATTCAAGAACTGCCACACCCAGAAAGCCCCATTCTATGCCACCACATCAAAGCCCCCGAAGCTGGGTCTGTCTTCCTAGGTCTGCAGCAACAGCACTTTAGGATCCTGAGGGGCTGCGAAGATCACAGACACAGGGCATGATTTGGGGGGTTCCAGATTAAAAGCTAGTGGCTTGTAACCAACTAGGGTTTAAATTCTCTCTGGCCCCATGGAGAACAGATGAGTGGGGTCGTGTCCCCCAATGCCCGAACCTTGAGAACGTGCCCTGCTCACTGGGTGGGCGGTACAGGTTCTTCTATTTCAGTGTTAAGTTTGCAAAACTGTTTACAAGTGCCTGGCTCAATCTTTCAAAAACTTCACCCGGAGGACACAAAGTAAGGTCTTTGTCCCTTCACTTTCTGCCTCAGCAGCATCCAACTGATATGCACACACACAGCAGACCTACCTCTCTCTGCCCTCCGTTTTCTAGCAAAGCAGCAGGTGAAGTTTCTCCAAAGCAGGCGGCTTCAGATCCTTCAGCCTCCGCACAGCAATGGCTGCAGACACCCAGTTCTATTTGCCTGTGTTTGCATCATAACCATTTTCCTAGCTCTGGCCAACCACGGCCAACCTAGCCCTGGGCTTGACTTATTCAAACCAGAGGGGAAAGCTTTATCTGCTCCTATTCAAAACAGCAAAAACAAGAGACTTTTAAAGGCTTCTTTTAACTACAGCTCCACGCCCTGGCCTATTGATTTTTTAAAAAGTGCATGGCCCATCAATAATTCACCATGAGAGAGAGAGGATGTGAATTTGCCATACAGTAGATATGAATATATTATGCTGATGACAGAAGAGGCTAGCGCAGCCCACCGTGTGCCAGCATATTAGCTGGCGGGGCTCCGAGATGAGTCTGGGTGTTTTTCAGGGAACTCTGCAGTGCCAAGAAAGCTGTTTGAGACTTTTTACTAGTCCTACTAGGTGCCAGGAAACTCCTGGTCCAGCAGCATCAAGAGCAGGCATGGGACCCTCTGATTCCCCCAGGGCTGCTGTCTCCAGCAGTCAATAGACACTAAGCATATGCTTGTTAAGCACCTGGGAGCCATGGAGTTTGTCCCTAGCTGAGCCAGAGAGGAGTTAATGGAGTGTAACCTCAGCAACCTTGACCAGAAACCATGTCTGTGCTGCTGGGTGCTACGGCTTCATAACCAAAGGGCATACGAGAAGGCCAGTATCCACCTAGTGACGGATGGTGGCAGGGAAGGAAGGCAGTGTCCACTCCTGGTTAGGTTTCAAAAACAGCCTTTATTAGCTATTTGTAATACAAATATTCCAAAAATATAAACAGACTCTTAACAGCATCCTACAGTTCAAGTTTTTGAATACGACAAATGTATCAAATTGTGAAGCGAGGTGGTCAGGGATCCCACAGCCCAGTCACAGTGGGAGCAGACTCCTTCCCTCCAAACGGCCTCTTGAAGGGAGAAATAGGCAAATCTCGGGCAGTTACAGGCGAAGAACATCACCAGCCTAAAGAAAGGGCTGTTCCAGGAGCTGACCCTGCATTAAAGGAGTGGGGCAGCTGGCTAGACTTGGGACCTCTTCTCCCCTGAATATGAATTTACTAACCATGTTTTCTAAAAAGAGAAAGAGGGGAACTAGGGATTGTGACTCAGCTGGACGTGCTTGTCCATCATGAAGAAGCCCTGGGTTGCCCCAGCACCTCATAAACCAGCAGCGGTCACAGCGGTAACCCCAGCACTCAGGAGGTGGAGGCAGGCAATCAGAAGCTCATGATCATCCTTGGCTACACAGTGACTTCAAGCCCCTGCCTGGGATTCATGAAACCCTGTCTGGAAGTGGTGGTGAAGGAACTGAGGAGGAGCCATGGCTAAGTAGGAAGCCAGGCTGAAACAGCGGGATGCAGACAGCACAGCAGGCTGCACTGCAGCAGGCCTCTGAACAGGGCAGGGCACGGACCTGCACAGGCCCCCTTCCTGGGAGGGGCTGCCTGGAGGCTGCCATGCTTTAGTACAAAGCTGTTCTGAGCACTGTTAACAGAGGGCTAGACATTTACACAAAAAAATCTTTGGGAGGCAGGAGGGAGCGAAACATGTCCTGGTTAGATGAAGGCAGATCCACTCAACCTCTAGCTGGGGACCGGAGGGCCTGCAGTGTCCCCCTACAATGTGCAGAGTGGAGCACTTCCCTGGCCCTTTATCAAACTGGTCCTGTGTCCAAAGCTCCCCCTATAAGAGGGACACGAACATCAGGCTTTTGATTTAGAAGCCCAATCAGAGAGACACACTGTGTCCCTGAAGAGGCACCTTAAGAGCTGAACCTGGCAGGCAGGCAGAGTCCTGGCACGCTTATGTGGGTGCTGACACCCAGCGTGGTGGTGTCCTGACTCCTGACGACTAGTCTGCCCTGGAGAAGGCTGGTGGCAAGCCAGGAGCCAGAATGAGCTTCAGAATGAGCGGGCTCTCTCTCCCAATTATGCCCTTCTCCCAGTGTGGGCCTGTGTCCTCTCAGCAGCACCTCTCAAGCACCACATGCCCCAAGACACACAAGGAGCAAGGGGACAGGACAGCAAGGAACAGCCTCTGGCTGGCTCTGGTCCACTAGGACAGGTCCTGTTAAGTTTGGAAAGAGGGGACTTGGGATGGCCTCTCTGTAGCAGACTGCAGGTGGCAACAAGTATTCTGGTGGCAGACAGGCCTAGAAAGCTGGGGTTCACATAGAAGCAGCAGCAGCTCCCAGGGAGCCACACTGAGTTTTGGTCATGGGTCAAACTCCAGTCCTTGCATATGCCTAATGGCAAGGGATGAGCACAGGCTCTTCCTCTACAAGGTAAAGCATGAAGACCCAAAAGAGGTGAAAAGGACCTAAAATCCACCTAACTCTCGAGCTTATTGCTTGGCAAGGACTAGCCCTCAGAGTTGCCTTGTGAGAGGGTAGCAGTGAGACCAGGAGCTGGAGCCACAGCCAAGCTCCCGCACTCCTGGCTAGCACCTGGAGCCCTCTCCCATGACCCTGGCAGGACCCACAGGCACCAGCAAAGGATGCTGAGGGAAATGGCAGGACTTGAGGACTCTATTCCGCTCTGTCACCAAAGTGGAAGACAAGGCCCCACAGCCTTGGCCTAAGGAAGAAGACTGCACAATACCACCAGAAGGACGACAGTCAGCTAGCTTCCACTCAGAACACTGAGCTCCATCAGCAGGCTTTCTCGAAACGGGTTAGTTCCTGAGACAGGACCTAGTATGTGGAAACTAGAGATCATTCTCCGACTCCTGAGTGGGTGGTGGCCACCCCTGAAACAGTTCATAAATGCTACACTTGCCTCGGGAAAAGCAGAGCTGCAAGTCCACCACCTCCGTGAGCGAGGAGGGAGGAGAACCTCCCCGGCCCTGTGACAGGACTCAGCTAAGGCAGTGGTACTGAGCTGGGGCTCCTCAGGGCCCGTGTGCGCCCAACAGCAGCAGCACTTCCCTTGCTGTCCAACCTGGGGAAACTGTTCAAGACTGAGAACTTAGAGATGCAGAGCCTGTGAGAGCCACACCCGGCCCTACCACCAGGAACAGGAGGCATTGGCCCATTTGGCAAACTAAGTAACAACAAGACCTACAAACCCCTCAGTCCTGGAAAAGTAGTTCTCCCAAGGCCTTGGGGAAAGAGAAACAGCCAGGATGGCACACTAAGGAGACATGTGGGAAGAGCCCTGTCTGAGCAACGGGAGTCCACAACAGCCTAGCAGCCCTCCCCGGCTTCTGCAGCCAAAGTCCTTGCAGCAGCTAGCACAGAATCCCGGAAGAGCAATTTCTGGGATCTCTAAGCAAGGAGACACATTCTGCTTTGGATCCTTGTTTTTCCCCTGTACCCAGCACCACCCACCCACATCTCAGGCCTAGGACTGCAGCTCAGCCAGATACAAACCACTCCATATTTAGGAAGAGAATTTTAAAAGTTAAAAGAACAGGAGTCAGCTATCTGTCCTCTTCCAGGGCAGGGAGAAGACCTCCTTCCCCATGGGAGAAAGACTATGGCTCGGAGTGAAAAGGCTGCCTGCTGGTGGCGCCTGGCAGACGCAGAAGTGCCCATGGCAGGCGCGCTGTGGGAGCCAGGAGCAGCTGTAGGCCACAAGACCTGGTGGTTCCGAGTGCTGTGAGCACACTCCCGCCCTCCCAGGCATGTCTGCAGCTGCTGGTGAGGCTTTTGCTTTCAGAAAGGCGAGTGCCTGCGGCATCCAGAAGCTGCCTCTGGCCTCTCCTTTCTCCTTGGCACAGGCCTTGTGATGCTGAGGAAAGGCCATGGTTTGGCAAGGGAGCCTGCAATAGTTTTCATTGCTGTGGCGTTCAGTAGCTCACGGGAGAGCAGGAAGGCGGACAAGTGACCCCCTACTGAGACACTGGACACCCTGGATGGGCACATGCGAGTGCACACACACATACGCACGCACACATGCACACAGATACCTGGGAACCAAACACAGGGTGCAGACAGTTCTGGACATCGGTCTGATTTGCCTGCTCTGTACCTAACCTGCCCTAAAGCTCTCATCAACCACTTCCTGGCTGCTTCTCGACCCTTTGGCAAGGTGCTCCAGCGTCTGAGCGGCTCGGTCAGTCAGGCTGATCAGAAAGGCACAGTGTAGCAAAGTCCCCTACTGGGATGGCTGTTTCTTGGAAGCAGGAAGGCTAAGGGGCCCGCAGCTGCCCAAGGCTGGTGTAGACGTCATCTGCTCCACTCAGCTCCTCAAAGATTGGAATCAGGTTCAGCAACTCTGTGTCTGCCATGTCATCAAACCAGGACTGCACAGGCACCTTGGGGCAGGAAAGGTGACGTTAATCTGATTTCTCCTTCCCCTGCCAGTGCCCTGGAGGCTGCTGGGACACACGGAGCAGCGCACAAGTCTGGCAAAGCCCCCAGCCCTGGCCTGCAACCCCTCCCAGTCCCTGATGCCTTGGGGCTTATCTGGGCCACTCACTGCATTTTCTGGGTGGAAGATGTAAGACGCGGGTGAGTTGTCCAGGATGAGGGTTTTCCTCAGGTCCCTTCCCAGGCGGCTCAGGTCCTTAACATAGCAGCCCTGGTGGAACACACAAGACTCCCGGAACAGCCGGGCCCGGAACACCCCACAACGGTCCAGAAGGTCTGTCACAGGGTCTGCATACTGGAAGATGAAGAGAGGCCTTAGCTGAGATGCCGTGCTGGGTCCCCTGTGACTGCTAAATCATCTCCCATTTTTTCCTCCCCTCCGGTACCTTGGCCAAGCTGGCAGTGAAGAGAACACATTCAAAAAGCTCCCCCATTCGCCTCAGGAACTCGTCAACATAAGGCCTCTTGAGCACATAGACCTGGAGAAGCAGAGCGGACTGTTGGAGGTACCTTGTGAGGCCAAAGGAGGCAGCACTGCCCCCTTTCCACTGACACAGAAATGTAACCAGGCCTAGATGCCCAAGCCAAGAACCTGGGACTTCTACCCCACCAGGTCACCAACAGGCCCAATCCTGGCATGAAGGTGAGCATACTATGTCCCAGGAGCCATCTTCATTCCGGGGTGACCATTAGCTGCCTCCAGAAACAAGTAATCAAGAATAGGCCTCACAGATGGAAACAGCCTATCCTGGATTACTTGAATCCAGCCACAGCCTCCATAGCTTTCTGAGTGGATTCCAGGAGGACCACCTGTGCAGGTCCCCACCTGGCAAGGGCCCTGGTACATCCTCGAACACATGCCCTCACAGGGTTCTGAACACCACCCCTTTTGAGGGCCTTGCATGTTCTTAAACAATTCTTCAGCTATGCCTCACTCAGTCAGTTTACAACCTGCTGCTTCCCACCTTCAGCCTACAAGAGTGCTCCTTAGGTCCATTTCCTGAAAGCTCCTTTTGTAGTATTATACCCTGGCACAGGGCAAGCCTGCCACAATTCCTTCTCGCCCTAATTAGCCACCAATTCAGCAGACCCCTCCCCATTTAGCAGGAGATAACCCCCTGCAGCCACAAGCTGCTCTATCAGCCTGCTAGCCCTTCAACGTTACAAACAAGCCCCTTCCCCAACAGCTACTCATCAAGCATGGCCTCTCTTCCCCACTGTCTTCTCAGATCAACACGGCAGGCGGCCCTCCTCCACTTTAACTCGTTACTACTTAATTCATGCCTCTCTTTATTAAACTGCAGTTCCCTGCACATATTTGCCTATGTGAAGCCATGTCCCATGGATTCTGTACATTTCCATTTCCTCCCATCATTCCTGCAATGGATGATGGGCCTAGCAGAGATCCACGACTTTGTGGCTCTGGTACAGAAAGCCTGTAAAGGGAAATGGGACTACGATGACAAAACCATGTAAGCCTCAGGCTGCGCTTCCCCTGTCAACAACCACCTGACCAGTCCATAAAGACAAGTCCCAGGCCTACTGGTGCATCTGCACCAACCGTCCCTGACCCTCAGGCCAACCAGCAGGCCTTCTGAGCAAGCATTCTGAGCATGTGGTCTCTCACCAATGCCACCCCAGACAGCAGGGTACACACGGCTAGAACCTGGACTCTTAGACGCAGTAAGTCAGAAGGTGTCATGGGAGCCTGGGTTGGGGGGAAAAAAAAATCACAGGGAAGCCCCCAGGCAGACATCATTACCAAGGAAGAAAGAAAACGGAGTGCAGTATAAAAACTCCTGTCTACTTGGCAGGAATTGGTGATTAAGAATTGGTGACTATAAGGGCTGGAGAGACGGCTCAGCAGTTAAGAGCATTGGCTGCTCTTCCAGAGGACCTGGGTTCAGTTCCCAACACCCACACAGCAGCTCACAACTGCCTGAAACTCCAGTTTCAGGGGATCCAACACACTTACACAGGCAAACAGGCAAACTACCAGGCAAAATAGGCAGGCAAAAGCCTGCACATACATATATTAAAAAAAAAAAAAGAGGTAGGTGGGTCTCTGTGAGTTCAAGGACAGCCAGGAATAAATAAAGAGATATTAACTCAAGAAGAAGAAAACAACAATGCAGTTCTCTCAGTGTGACTGCACAGAGAAAAGGGAACATAGGCTGGAGGGGGGTGGACGTGAGACTCAAACCACTAACAAAAAGAAGATACTAGGTCACAAAAGCCATTTCCTGTTTGCACCGGGGCATGGGTGGCACACAGCTCACCTGGTGCGTGGTCCCCTCGATCTCCACAGGCACTATGAAGTCAGCATTGTTGATTGGCTGGAAGGCAGAAGTTGATGGGTCAGCACACAGGAAGCCCCCACTGACCCTGGAGATGGGCCCCCACGCCGTTCTTAGCCAGCACTGTCTCTTCAGGCTTCCCTTCTCCCTCATCTATCCTACTTGCCAAATTCTACCTGAGGTAAGATTTAGGGTTGTATTTTATTTAGAGACAGGGTCTTGCTACACAATCCAGGCTGGCCTCTAATTCACGTTCCCATGAGCAATGGACTTACAGCCAAGCACCACCAAATGCCTAGCCTTTTCAACTTGTGATATCCTAGAGCCTGTGATTTCCCTGCCTCAGTTTCCCAAGCGCTGGGATTGAGGAAGTGCCTCCACATCCAATTTAAGGCTTTCTTGCATTAATAAACCTATCAGTCAAAGAAATGTGCTGAAGCCAATTTAACTATTTTCTCCATGCTAAGTGGAGACAGATACACCATATAGGTCACTATTTGTGTGTGTGTGGGGGGGAAGTGTGTATGCGTGTGCGTTCTTAACTCTTCAGTATGGCCTCTGAATCCAGGGCCTGGTCCCTTCCGTCTATCATTTCCACTTCATCTGTAGATTACCTCACAGCTGTTGCACAGCTTACAGATAGGCCCTCATGGAGGGACTGCGTGTGACTTACCTTAAAGGAACTGTGAACAAGGGTCTCATCCAGGTCAATGACCACACAGATCCTTCCTTGGTCTTGCTCTGTCGCCTCTGGGAGCAGGCAGGTCCCAGGGATCTAAAACCAGAGCCAGGCTGAGATGTGCCTACCAAGTAGCAAGCCCAATCGTTCCCCTCAGCAGAATGCTAGGAAGAGCCAGGCTGTCTGGAGACAGAGTCATCAACCCAGGAAGGCCCTGCTTAAAGGTAGAGAACAGAGGCAGCAGGGTCTAAGGAGAAGTTAAAGCAGCAGCGGGGTATCTGGCTTCAGTTGGGGCTGGTGTGGAATACACAGCTGAGAAGGGCTGCCCCATAGCTGTACAGGGGCCCTTGGCAAACACTTAGCACAAAGGGTAGGGAGGTAGGCTGGACAGGAAAGTGCCTGCCAGGCTAACCAGGGCCTCCAGGGTCAGCCAGATTGACATACCTGATAAAACTGGTACTGGAGACACTGGAGCAGGTCCGACTGTGGGAGAGGAAGGAGGTACTGAGTGCCAATTCCTCAGCTGTACCTTCCCTAAGCACATACTTCTGCCTCCCCAAGACCCAGCACCTAGCAGCTCCCCACATAATAAAAACGGCTCTCCTTGGGAGCGGGCAGGAGAGGGGACGCCTCTTCTCCACCAAATAAAGCACAGAACCGCAGGCACTCGGAGCTGAACTCTCCTGTGAGGTTCACCTCTTGCTTAGTCCTAAAGCCCAGCTCCTTGCTGATGGTGTCTGTTTCCTCTGCCTCCTTGGGGCATACACCATGTGGGTGAGCAAGGAAACAGTAAGCACACCAGCATAAAGCACTAGTTGGATTGTCTGTGACTATGAAGGGAGATGGGATACAAACAAGCCGCAAAGAGAAAACACTGAAAATGTTCTAAAAAGCACTAAGTGTCCCTAATGTAAATCTTGGGGGTAAGGGGAATTAAATTCTTTCAAGCATCAGCTAGCATTTCCCCACAGTAATATATGATCTTAAATTCTGCCTTTGATTTAACAGTGCAGGTAATGTTACAAAGAAGGTACCATTAAAAACTAACTGCTTAAGTTGGGGCATGGTGACACACTTTTATTCCCAGCACTCAGGAGGCAGAGGCAGGTGGATCTCTGTAAGTTTGAGGCCATCCTGGTCTACAAAGTGAGTCCAGGACAGCTAGGGCTACAGAGAAACCTTGTCTCAAAAAACAAACAAACAAACACCACAGCCTAAGTGCTTGTAACCCTGCCGGGCTGTGATACACACAGATGTGCAGGCTGGTTTTGTGAGGACAGCTAAGGTTGTTTAGGGTGTTAAGAATCCTATCTTGTTTGTTGGGGCTGGAACAATGGCCTTCTAATCATGTAAGAATAAAAAACACATTTCCAAGTGGTTCACAGGGGCACAGCTGCAAATTGCTAGTAGGCTCTTTTTATCTGTTGCTGTTTTCTTTTGTAACAGGGTCTCATACTAGCTCTGGGTGGCCTGGCACTTGCTCTGTAGGTCAGGTGGCCCTGCTATGAGATCAGCACGGAAACCCTACTGAAGCTGTCTCTCCAGTGCTAGGATGCTAAGAGGTTATTAAGAGCACAGCAGAATTTTTGTTTTGTTCTTTTAAGACAGGGCTTCTCTGTGTTGCTCTGGATGTTATTTAGAACTTACTCTGTAGAGCAGACTGGCCTTGAACTCACAGAGATCCACCTGCCTCTGACCCCCACCATGCCCAGGTGGAGACAGTTCTGAGTAGGAGACAATAATAGGCACAGACTTCAGAGACAGGAATTTTGGTTCCGATCCCCCACTAGCGATGATTAACATGGGTACATTTTCCATATCTGCATGGCGCCTTTCAGGTGTCCTGGAATCTGCAGTGTCTGGACAGCCTATGTCACAGATGAGGAGACTCAGAAGAGAGTAAGGGCCTTTCGGGCCAGGAATCATGACACCCCCAGGCCAGAATAGCCACCCCATTCTGTTACCTTAGCAATGACGCTGGTCTCCTCCTTGTATGTGAGCTCAGTGGACGAGCTTGACTGGCCAACATGCTGGGTGTGAAAACAGCAGAAAAGTGCCTTCAAGATGTTCCGGCCACGAGGCTTCTTAGGCGAGGACTTGGAGACTAGGCCTAGAGAAGGAACGACAGACAAGAGCATTAGGGACAGGTACATCGGTCTGTCAGCACTCCCACCTGCCCACACCCTCACGTCCAGGCTCTGCTGGGATACAGTGCACAGCGCTGAACAGCACACACAGTGACAATGAAGTGGACATCTCCCAGCACACTCCCTTTAGGGAAGAGAGTGAGCTGCACAGGAGTCACTCCTCAGACTATGGCAGCTCACAAGATGGGCTGAGTATTCGATGACCCAGCAGCAGCAACATGCCGTCAAAATGCACTGGTGAGGCCCTCAGTGACCCGGCAGTAGTTCCAGCAGGAGAGCAACCCAGTCCCCTGCAGTCAGTGGAGCTGCATTCAGCTCAGAGTCCCTAGACTCAGGATCAGTGGCAACAAACAGTGCAAGTTGTCTAAAATCTCAGATTCCCCCCAAAACAGATCGAGATGGCTGTGGGTAAAGGCTGTGCCACCGACCCTGATGACCTGAACTCCATCACACATGCTGGGAAGAACCAACTTGTGCAAACAGTCCTCATGTGCACACGTGGGTGGGTACACCCTCCACCCCACCCACTCCACTAATCCACCTCAGACCTCAGGAAGAAGGCACGCTAGTTGTCTGTGTTCATTCTTAATATTTGCCATGCCACCCCACTCTGCAAAACCCACCCCAGGGAGAGGGTTGGAAAAGAGATGGAGTAAGAGCCTTGGTCAGTCACAGAATGCAGTTTCAGTCCTAGGCAGAGGCTGCCGTTTCCACACTGCAGCTGCTCTGCCCTCCCCTCATCATCTGGGCTTTGGAAACACAAAGCCATTTTAACACTTGGCAGCTCAGCAACTGATACAGAGCAAAGGGAACCCAGCACCAATGGCTTCAGATCACTGCAAAGGGCATTGTGGCCAGGAGGTGGCGCTGTACAACCAGTTACGGAATGGTACCCATCGACAAGTCTCTCCTGGGGTCTGAGTGTCCCAGAGCCTGAGAAAAGCTGGCCCACTCCAAAGCACAGGACAAACTACTGTGCAGGCAGGTAAGTGCCACCCAGCCAACTCCTGCTCCCTCAGCTACTGTGAGAGGCCCCTTATTAGAGTAGCCATACCCATCTGACTAGGCTGTCTGAGATCCCCGGGAAGAGGAGAGAAAAACAACAGTGTCCAGATCAAGGTGGAGAAGGGGCCATTTTACAAGCTACAGGGGTCCTCTCTGAAATTAAGTGAGCCTTTCTAGGAAACTGCCTGAAAATCTGGACATCACTTTTAAAGTGTGAAGTTAAAGGACAATTTTTAGTGTGAATTCTCTATTTCTATGTGGATTCCAATGATCAGGTTATCAGGACCTTAGAACAGCAAGCACTTTAACCCCCTGAACCACCTCGCCAACCTCCTGAACCATCTTGCCAGGCCCTATGGCATCACTTCCAACCTCTTGGCTACATATGAAGAACCAAGATTTCTTTGGGCATTTTGCAGTGAAGTTTTCCTGAGAAAATCTGCCAAAGCCTTCTTAAAGACCAAATTCAAATCAGGGCCCAGAACTTGGTGGGATACGCAGACTACTCCTTGGAAAGGGTCTCCCTCTAGATAATCATCTCTGCAGAAACCAGAGGAAGGGGCTGATCCCCTAACCCCATCCCTCATTGGCCCACTAAATTCTCTGTGCAGGGGCTCAGGACAGATGCAGACACAAAGCCTCACAACCAAAGCCGAGCCTTTTCTTTTCTTTTTTTTTTTTTTTTTTTTTTTTCATGGTTTCTTCATGTACAAACCACAATTGGAGGCTTAACCCGAGCAGAGTCTTTCTTAAAAGGCCACAGAACCCAGGCCTTTCCTGAAGAGAAGCCACATCAGGAGTGTGTTCAACATCTTAGTGACAGGCACTGTGAGGCTGAGTGATCCTGAGAGGCAGCTGGCTGGGGCCACAGAAAGGCCTTGCCTGTGCCCACTGCAGGAACCATGACCTCTGCAGGGGTGAGGGGCTTCTTCAATGCAGTGTGACCAACAGCCCTGCATCTCAGCAGATCAAACACAGTGACCTTGAGGGCAGGCTCCTGCAGCCAACAACCCACACCCAGAACTGTGAGGCCACCTCCCCTCCCCTGCCCTGCCCCAGGCCCCACTTCACAGCATCCTTCATGCCGGCTGCTTTGCTTACTTTTACAGACACTCCTGAAGGTCATCGGGGCTGGATTCAGCTTCCCACAACATGGCTGTTCCCCATAGGGCCAACAATGGTCTCACCTGACACACTCCACAGCCTCTAGCCTCTGTATAGCAGATGCTTAATAATTTCACCAACTCACTGAGTAACTGCAGGGCCTCTTGGGCCTGCCACTCCTCCAGTTAGGTCCTGGAGAAGCCTCCCTTCTTTTGTAGCCCAGACAGCTAGTAACAGAAAAGCCTCCTTGGGAGGGAAAGAAGGTGGTACTGAAGGAGCAGAGTGACTGAAGGGAGCACTGAAGCTTTCTGGGCCACAGCCACACTTAAAACACGCAAGAGCAACAAATGCCAGGCCTGTTCTAGACACCTCCAACACCACCTCACTAAACCCTTGGTAGGATTCACTTGTAGGTCCAGTCTCCAATCTGCAGGAGGGAAACTGAAGCAGACAGGTTAATCAGCCTGCTGGGGTCATGCAGTGGTATGGTAGCTGAGCAAGACTTTGAACCCAGAGCCAGGGCTCCCAGGAGTCTCCAGCAGTCTCTTGACAGTTCAGGCTGGTGTCTTCTTGGGCGACTTCTGCTCTATTCCACTCGAGAATGAGCTGGTGAAAGAACTTGGAGCCGTACCGCTCCCCCTTCCGTGCTCTTGGGCAGGTGAGCGAAGTGCAGAAGGTGAAAACGCAAGGCAGAGACTCAATTCTCCTTCCCCTACAAAGCCTGTCCATGGCTCCTTTTAGCCACCGCTCTGCACTATGTCCCTGACAGCTGAGGGGAAGAACCCTGGGCAGATGGAAGAGCACCCTGGGCTGAGGGTTTACTACACTGCATTTCTGGGAAGGGAGGTAGGATCCCCATGGAGAGCTACTCTGCAGGTGCCTCCTCCCCCTCGCCCTCAGCCAGGCCCCATGGATAGCTGGTTTCCCACTCCTGTCTGCCCTTCTTGCCCCAAACCTTTGAATGTCCGAATAGGCCAGCAAAGGCAAAATGGGGAAGCCTGCACCCCACTACCACCCTCAACTCAAGACTGCTAGGCTTCCTATTGAGGCCGCCATGAACAGAAGCAGCCAGTGAGGTCCCTCTACTTGGGACTGTCTGGGCTGTAGTTCAGGCTCTGCCAGCTACTGATTCAATAATGCAGCCTTAGTTTCCTGATCCATAAATTGGGATAAAAGCAAGACCTCACTCAGGATAAACAAAATGTATGAGCAAGGTCCTGGCTAGCCTCGAAAAGCTACACTAACTGGCAACCGCTGAGCCTCATTTGTAGGCCTCAACATGGGGATAGCATAGGTCTCATTCCAGGACACCAACAGGGATCAGGGGCCCGCCCACCCTCATCATGTGGTTGAAGTTCAAGGTCAGATTCATTCCCACTCTCAGCTCCCCTACGTGGTCCTGTGACCATGACAAACATCACCTGGTGTAAGCCCTGCCCTCTTCCCTGTGTACTCCACAGCCTCAGTAAACAGCCTATGAGAACTCCCCCTTGTAAAAGCGTGTGCTGCATGTACAGATGGAGCCTGGCCTTCTCAGGACAACGTTATTTTTAACCTTCTGAAGGTCAGGTCCAGACATTACGGTTGCTGACAACACAGCTTTGTACCCCAGTAAAGAAACACCTCACAGGAAATCCGTGCCGCGCTGGACAGAGGGCAGAAGGCGACTCCTTGAGCTGTGGGATTTTAACAAGACCATTCACACACAGGATGCCTTCTTGGTTCGTTCCCAGCAACATCCACCAACAGCAAAGGGCAGGGCTGGCTCTCACTATAAAATGGCCTCTGAGAGGCCTCCCTCCCCTTTGCTAATGGAGGAAGGAGAGTATTTGGAGCATTTCCGGCCCTTCTTGGCTAGCTGCCTGGGCCCTGTAGCCAAGACACATCTGATTGGGGCTCCCTGTGGAGGAGTCCTCCAGGTTGTCTGCAAGAGGCATCTGTGCCTTGGCTAAGGACAGGCGCTGAAGTGCCAGGTATGGGTAGAAGGACAGTGGGCAAGGAGACAGGAGGGCAGGAGATGACCACCCTCCAACCCCCCGGCAGACAGAGGAAGGAGGACCTCTCCATCCACAGTGCCCAACCACTGATGCAGGGCAAAAGTGGATGTGTGAGTATGATTGCATGGGTTTTTTTTGTTTTTGTTTTTTTTTTAGCAGTTTGCGTCACAGGATTTGGCTCACATTGGCATGGCTACACTGGGCTCCAGTAGCCCCACACCCAACAGCTCCTCTGTTCCCCTTCCCGGGGCAGGAGGCTCCTCTCTTTCTTCAGTGTGTACGCACTTCAGGCAGCCATCTCCATGTGGCTCAAGCCAGCTTCAAATTTATGCTACTGTGCCCCTGCCTTAAGCCCTCTCAGGGCCTCAGAGTTCAATTTTAGGGACCTTCCCTCAAAAATCTTGGTTTTGAAGACAAGGATTAGCAGGAAACTTGGTTTTAGAGGCGGACACTTGTTGGATTATTGGCAAAAAATATAAGCAGCTTCAATACTTAAAAATAACAATAAAAATGTAAAGGAGTGCTGTGGTGGGGTCTCCAGGAGCAGCAGGTTCCGGAGCCACAGGGACAAACTGAGACACCCTTCAAACACGTGAAGGGCTGGATTCCACCTTGCTGCACACGGTGCCAGCCAGAGAGGGGTGCCCATTGTCGGGCACTGGATACCAGCCACGCCAGCTCTCCCTCCTCCTGAGGAGGGGCTGAGCAGGCTCACAGAGACCTGGCCAGCAGGACACCATCTTGATGGCCATTCAGTGCTGGTCATGATCTCTGCCCCAACCTCGGAAATGCTTACGCTTCATGGAAAGCCAAGAAGAATCCAGGTCCCACAAAGAGGCACAGGAGGGAGCCACAGG